GATCTCGAAATTAGCAACAAGTATGTCAGCTGTCCTAATTATTACCACACAGGTCCTGGGACTGTCTGACATACAACATAATAAAGGTATAATCAGTTCCAGAATCTGGTTCCTGGATATGAACTAATTTAGCTCTAAGACCTTCAGCAAGACTGTCTCTATGGCCTGCATTTCTCTCCTATAGGTTTGACAAAGATTCACCTGTAAGTTTGATGAAGATAGGCTAGGTATGGCCCTCAGTAAGAATTTATTCTGGCTGGGAGATTTAAAACTGTAAATGCTTGAGTTCTACCTCCAGATTCTAATTTTATTTAATTGGACATCAGACCATGGTGTCTGATTAAATAACTATCCAATTATTTAATTGGGCATATTGTATTTTTAACTCCAGGTTATGTAATAGGCATGAAGTATTGAGGAACACTGACAAAAAGGTTAAGAGTTCAGTGAGACACTGAGGCCTCTTCAGTACATAAAAACAGGGTTGGAAGTTAGCATCTTGACACTCTTTGGGGGATTCCATATCTCTTCACTTGCCATTAAGTGAAACGTTCAGAAATTTAAGAGTCAACAATGCCATCATTACTGCTGTCAAAGTCCTTCAGTGATTAAAAAGATATCGTGATCCCTCCATCATCTGGTGTTGTTAAATTACTTCAGTAAGAACAAAAGATGTGCTTTCCAAGGGTGGAGACATCCAACTTGTATTCAGTTCCCCATTACATTCTGGATTTGGGTCAATGAAAGCAGCATCCATTGGGGTGATAGCTAAGGTGTGTCCTTGTCACATATGAGTGAGATTTCTGGAGGGGAGTAGTGTGGAAAAGTGGTTTTAACATTGGGCAAGAGGATGTCAGAGAATTTCTGAAAGACACAGCTATCTCTAGAAACTCAACTGTAAGTAAAGAGACAATTAACACTTTCGAAGCCCATTTATCCCTGATGGTCAATTACACACTAAGAACTTCCTTTTTAAGATTTGCCCTGCTAACTATCACAAGAACAGAAAACCAAACACCGCATGTTCTCACTCATAGGTGGGAACTGAACAATGAGATCACTTGGACTTGGGAAGGGGAACATCACACACCGGGGCCTATCATGGGGAGGGGGGAGGGGGAAGGGATTGCATTGGGAGTTATACCTGATGTAAATGACGAGTTGATGGGTGCTGACGAGTTGATGGGTGCAGCACACCAACATGGCACAAGTATACATATGTAACAAACCTGCACGTTATGCACATGTACCCTAAAACTTAAAGTATAATAATAATAAAAAATAAATTAAAAAAAAAAAAAAAAAAAAAAGATTTGCCCTGAAGGGCCCTAGAGCATTACCTCTTCCATGCAGAGAATCAGAAAGCTTGGATTCTAGCTCTAGCTCCCAACAATTAGCTGTATATAATTGATGATGGGTGACTTCATTAGTGTCAAAGCCAAAGCATATTCTCTGTCAGCTTTTCAAAAAAACACGCAGTAAAGAGAGATTCCTACCAGGAAACTTTGATGGGTGTTTTTCAAGTGTCATCTCACAGCAGAAGATTCCTCAAGTGGTCAAACCTTGCCAACAGCTTCAAAAAAAAGGTAACTAGGATTTAACTTTACAGTGCATTTTGATGTTTCCTTTTGTGTCATATCTGACAATAAAAGAACTTAAAAACAACCAAAAAACCCCAACACTATCCAGCTTCTCCATTCTGTCTCCTGCTTTGCTTTTTCTTGTTTATAAAATACAAATTTATGGCTGGATTTGATGTTGAAAATTTAATATAGTTATCTCATGTCACAGATAAACAACAAAAATGACTTGACCAAGTTCACAGTGTTGTTTAATGGCAGACCAAAGCACTAAAGATGGATAGTCCTGCCTTCCTAATTTGAACGCTCTTATCTCTACAGGTTAGGATCAAGTTATTCAGCAAAATAGGCTATCAGGAGGTTAAGCCCAAACAGTGAGGACACAAATTTTTATGATGTTTGTTTGACTAAATGCATGCAGTTTACCTCAAGATTAAGGGATTAAAAAAAGGCTGGAAAACAGTGTAACCCTATCTCCTGGATACATCTACAGACCTGCATTTAGGAATTATGCCAGGCTGTTATTTCTAACAGAGCTGATGATCATAGATGGGGCCTTTAAGGCAGGACTGGGTATTTGGCTCTTAAAAATGATTCTGTGCCTGCCTATCTTAGGAATAAATAATGCTTTCAATGATCTGCATTGTTCTGTCTACCTAAAAGGTACAAAGAAGGCCGGGCGCGGTGGCTCAAGCCTGTAATCCCAGCACTTTGGGAGGCCGAGATGGGCGGATCACGAGGTCAGGAGATCGAGACCATCCTGGCTAACACGGTGAAACCCCGTCTCTACTAAAAACACAAAAAACTAGCCGGGCGAAGTGGCGGGCGCCTGTAGTCCCCGCTACTCGGGAGGCTGAGGCAGGAGAATGGCGTAAACCCGGGAGGCGGAGCTTGCAGTGAGCTGAGATCCGGCCACTGCACTCCAGCCCGGGCGACAGAGCAAGACTCCGTCTCAAAAAAAAAAAAAAAAGGTACAAAGAAAAAGAATATATTTAATTAAAGAGAGATGTGTCCCAGGTAGATGGTAAGCAATGGGAATAAAGTCATGATATACCCAGCATAGCCTGATAGCCACCATTCTAGTCTTAGTTAAAAATAAGCATCTCATAAGTTTACATAATTTTAGGTGTCAGAATACACGTACGGAAAGGACAATCTAGACTAAGGAAACCTGAAATTTAATTCTGAAATTCATTAGGGAACCATGCCTAAGATGAGTTTATTTTCTTAACTGTAAAATGGAAGTGCAACCCTTAACTTTCCTCAGTGGCTCAGATGAAATACTGTGAAGGTACAGAGTAATGCTATATGACACAAAGCAAAAAGTGCTGTGCAAAAGATGACAGTGTGCTAAATATTAGGAAATTTCTGAGTTCCAAAAATTTAGATTTTTAAGAAACTATGTCATGTGAAGACGTGTTTGGAGAAACAATTTGTCCAATATTGTATTTATATATTAGGAGGGATTATATAAAAGGTGTTCAAAAAACAAGTATCAGGAAAACACTAAATTAAGCAGAATTTAGCAATTGTTTTTAACTTCAGAATTTCTCAGAGCTTTGAATATTGTATACCATGAATCTCCAAGAAAGGACAACTGAGCTTATTCTCCCCAAACTTATATGACCACCTAATCCTTTTTATATGGACCTTCTCAGTGGAGCAGTGTTCCATATAACATACTTAGGGAACACACATTCTTACTATCTATTTTCCCAAAATTCCTATTGTTTGCTTCAACACAAAATAGTAAGACACTGTGGCTAGAATTTTTTTTTCCATATAAACATAAACGTGTACTGACACATGTTGGTAAGCATTTTATAGGCTGTCTATTCTAGCTCTCAAATAACATGACTCTAAATCTAAACCAGATCACTAACATAGCCTCTTTCCAAAAGGCCATAATGAGTACCTCCTCATCAGGATAGAGAATGTACCCTTTAAGTTTTGTAGGAGTCAAGTACCCCTTTGTCTTGGGGACAGATTTCTGTTAAGACAGACAGAAACTCTTCCCTTGCTGGTCCAGCAGCGGTTTTCTTGTTCTCTGGACCAGCCAGAATAAAAAGACGACTTCTTGCCATGCATCATTTTGTTGTTTATCTAACACTGAATCCCAAATAAAATTTCATACCTGATTAATGGATCTGACCTTTTAAACTAGAAAAGCAGCAGCAACCTGAGATGGAATTGGTAAGAGAAAAATATGGTAACATTCTTAGCTAAAATACTGAGAGAAACGGAGAGTTTAAGTCTACTACTGTCTACAGTACTTATGTGAATGTTATAAAAGATCTGTTAGAAACTGGTGGCGATGGCAACAAGTCCTGCACCAGTTCTTAAATTCTCTCTTATAGCTAGTAGAAAGGATTACAAAGTTTGGCAAACATCTTGCATGGATCAAGACTGTTCACAGATGTCTGAGCAACGAATAATATGTCTATAGATTAGATCTAAGAGGTCATTTTACAACTGTTTACTAGAAGATATAAACATTTTTGCTCTCCCATTTGTAAGCTGTAGGTATGCATCATGGCTTCTGTGATCTCAGAGCTGTTTCTCGGACCAGCAAAAGAAGAGATGAAAATGTTCCTCTTGACCTCTATCTGCACTACACCAGAAATGTCACTGAGCCAGTTTCTTCCAGGGAGATAACAGAAACATTCTATGCAAGGCTGTGGGGGGCTGGTAATATAAGGCTAGGAGGATAAAGCTCCTTACTAATGAACAAGCTGACATTGAATAACATGGCATCTATGTGGACCATGGTTTGAAAACATTTTAAGATCATTCATAGACATCTGAGACCACTCACAGTTTCTTCCTCCCAAGGCTGTGAAATAAAATTCAAAAGTACATCAATAAATTCCTGGTGCTTTTCCATTTTATGGTAGCTTACATTTTATACCCTCAGTGTCCTTCAAAAGTGGCTGGAATAGCCCACCTATACCTTTATCTGATATGTTCATCTCTTTTTCACCCTTTGGAGAAATAAGATTACTTACAAGAAAACTGATTCTCCAAAAAGTATATATACATAGTACGTAACACTGGTAAATAATGGGTGTTTCTAACAGTTCTTAGAAACTGGCAAAGAGACAGAAGCCCATAACTACCCCCAAACTCACCCACCTTCATACATCTTCACAGAGACATCAATAGCAACAGTGAATTTATACATAAAGAATAAGTGAGGCAAAGGCAAAAGCAGTATCAATCTGTCTGAGTGTAGGCAATGGTGCCTTGATTATTTACCCGTACAAACTCTTTAGTCCCTTTTGGTTATCCCCAACTCAGCTCTTAAGCCGCAGATTTTTGCTGTGGAGAACTCAGATGTGATGTAGCTGCTCCAGTAACTCTTTTCACAGTACTGCATGTCAATAATGGGAATGATTTCTAATCAATTTAAACTGCACACGGTACTTTAATAGAACAAGAAGTTTATTACTCCCACTCAGTAGTTCCTGGGGGCTTTGATGTTAAGTCATACATAATTCGAGAAATACCAGGAATCTTCTTAATCTCAGTGACCATCTTTAATACCACCTATTAAAAAAAATTACAGAGAAAAGTCAGCATCCACTGCATGTCCAGCAGTCCTAGAGGGCTTACATTTCTAATTTAAAATTAAAAGTTGACTATTTTCACTATTGTCCTCCATGTATATGGGATGGTTTCCGATTAATCTTATAGAATGAACCTATTCCCCTCTGCAGGGATAGGTTTAAGTTATTAAGATTTAAAATATTAGTGACTTAAACTCAGTACTACTCAAAGTGTGATCCACAAACAGGTGCTAGTCTGCAATTTGTGTTTGTGACTGAGCCACAACAAATGCTTAAGAACATACAGTGATTTGACATTGCTGTGGCATCCAGGCATGTGATTTTGTGTGTGTCAGCCAATGCTCTGCAAATTATCTGCAGCTTAAACATACAACTCTAAGGGCCATTAATCATTATCAAGTATACAGGAAGAGAGGATAGCCTGCTCACTTGTCAAATTTGGCAAATTTGAGTCTAAGAGAAAACTAACTAAGCCACATTCCCCAACCCATCTACCTAGCTACAACCACAGCCTCATGTTAGTGCACTGGAGGCAGCGGCCCAACTGTGAGATAGAGTCTCACTTTGATTTTCACTTGCTATTATGCAAGTAGCTCCTTTGGAATGTTCTGGTGAAAACAAAGAAGGATCAAAAATTGAGTTGGAATTGGTAGTAGGGAGAATATTTAGGCAATTCTTGGGTGCCTGGCCATAAAGCTATCAAATTGCATCCTTATTTCTAACAAACTCTTCTTCACTCCTAGAGTTTTCTTCTTTATTTGGGGAATACTATTTGTAAAGTAGAAACTGGCAGGATTAGATAAAATTATTATAATTGATTACTGTTTATATAGTAATCAGACATTTGGAGAGCATTTATAACTTAAGGCCTTTTTCTGCCCCAGTGTATTAATCAAATATGTGAAAATTTAAAAAAAAAAAAAAAGGCCTATCTTATGAACAGAAAACCAACATCAGAAATACAGCACTGGCATAGCCTATTCCATTCACTGTATTATAATATGTAAGAGGTACTGAGAACATGCATTAGAAAAAAATATATAAATTACCTCTACAGGGATCTCATTGCCAGGTGTTGCAGGTATACCAGTCATGAAGTCACTAGTAATAAAGGTTCGAATAACCACAGATCTCTGGCATGAAGGCTGCTTTTGAAGTGGGTCCCGATCAAAATGTAATGGTGTCAAAATCACCGGCATCTGGCTGATTTTCCCAGCATACCCTAGAGAAAGGTACATGTAGAACCAATCACCGCACCACAGAAAAGCACTCTCAGTTTAATTAAATCCTCCCAGACAATATCTGAAATCACATATACACACACAGCATAGTTAAGACTGTCATCATGCATTGATTCTAGCTACTCGCAGAGCATTTTAATTGGACTCAACCACAAATGCAAAAAACAGAATTTGATCACATCAGTGATGTTTCACTGATGTGCTATAGAGAGAAAGAGTCCATTCTCATTATTCTCTATTATAATTTGCAGTATAGTTATATTCTACACTGCAAACAATGAATTAGTGAATATTGAACCATTTCTCCCAGGGGATATGGAGGGTTAGGTCCCTGCAAGCCTCTGGTTGCAATATTTTCATCAACTGATTAATATATAACCTTGTTTTATGTATGCTTCTGATTTAAGACACTGTATTTAATATTTATTATAGATTCATTCATACTGAACTCAAAATCAACAGCTCTTTAACTCATGCCTGAATGAAGTTTATCTAACACACAGATTTTCTCTGTAAGGTACATCACAGCATTCCTGTGCTTAGGAACCCAGACAGCACTTCAATACTATACTTGAGATCCATTTTAAACAGCAAAATCACAAACAAAAAGCATAAAAATGCAAAAGATATTTCATCAAGGAGACCATGAAAAAGACTTGTTCACATTATGAGAGCTGGAACAAGAAGGCACAGTGTCACCTTGTTCAAACTCAGCTGGGAACATCTAAGTCTGGAAATTCAAATTGTCTGCTGCTCTGTGCATACCCACAAATTGCCACAAAGGTGAATATATTTTATTTAGAAGCAACATTATAGGCTAGGTGCGGTGGCTCACACCTGTAATCCCAACACTCTGGGAGGCCAAGGCTGGGCTCACCTGACTCCTGACCTTATCACCTGAGGTCAGGAGTTCGAGATCAGCCTGGCCAAAACGGCAAAAACCCCATCTCTACTAAAACTACAAAAAAATAGCCAGGCGTGGCAGCGGGCGCCTGTAATCCCAGTTACTCAGGAGACTGAGGCAGGAGAATCACTTGTAACAGGAGGCGGAGGCTGAAGTGAACCAAGATTGTGCCACTGCACTTCAGCCTAGGTGACACAGCAAGACAGACTCTGTCTCAAAAAAAAAAAAAAAAAAGAAGCAACATCATAGAACATTCAAAGATTTAAATAATAAAAACAAAAGCATCTAAAAAGCAAAAGCTACATCCTCCTACTCTTAATGTCAAGCTTCCAAAAACTAGTTTCAGAGGGTAGTGATCAAAAACATGAGCAACTTACCAGACTCCCTGAGAATGTTATGGGCCTCAAAATCTGCTTGGCGTAAAGTACTGAGCACCCCTGTTGTCAAGAAAGTGGGAGTAACATCTGTAGGAGGTTCTTTAACTGGTGGGCCAAATATATAAACAACTCTGGAAACAAAGAGGTAAAAATAATAGAGCAATTACATTTTAAATGTAGAAATTACATTTCAGTATGAGAAGCAAGGCACTTAGAACAGTAACATTCTTTCCATTTCCCACTTAGTTTTAGGCCCTTCTCCTGCCCACTTCAACTCCTCAAATGGATAGGACAACATGTAAGATTATAGGAAGGTCTGTGTTCTATGTGCTTTCCTCAAAGTGTGTTCTCTGGAACATTCTGTATCTCAGAATGTGCAAAGATATAAGTGATTATTACGACTCTCTTTTCACTTAACGTACTGGGTCAAAGAGTATCCCCAAAACTTCATGTCCACCCAGAATCTCTGGGGAGAAAAAGGGTCTCTGCAAATGTAATCAAGTTAAAATGAAGTAATACTGGATTAGGATAGGCTCTAATCCAATGACTGATATCCTTTCAAGTACCGGAAAATTTGGATACACAGACACACATAGGGGAATGAGGATCATGTGAACACAAAGACTGACTGGATTATGCTGCCACAAGCCAAGCATTGTTAGCAACCATCCGATAGTAGGAAGAAGCGAGGAAGGATCCTCCACTAGAGTCTTCAGAGAGAATATGACCTTGCCAACACTGAATTCAGACTTCTGGCCTCCTAAACTGTGAGAGAATAAATGTCTGTTGTTTTAAGCCTCCCAGTTTGTGGTAATTTGTTATGGGTAGTCCTAGGAAACTAATATACATAGTTAAAATTTAAAAATAGGTGTCTTTATGACAAGACTTCAGAAACTATTAATATACTATGCTAACATGCACTGGAAATCTCCAAGAGAAAACTACAGTGAATTTCCCAAAATTAGTAAACTCATCTTTTTTTCTCTACTTGAGAAACAATGATCCTAGAGAGATTCTCATTTGCACTTCATTAAAAGGGCCATTGAAATAGGGCTTAGTATCCTACTACTTCCTTCCAAAAAAAATTCATTACTGTTTTACATAAATGTCTGTTTGAAAGACATGAAGATACACCACAAATATCTTCATGTTAATGACAGTCAATGAGAGTACAGTTTGGAACATAACTTGAGGAAATCAGAATCAGACAATTTTAACAACTTGAAGTGTAGCTGGCCATTGGTTTGAAGGGATCTGTTTCACAATCTTCACCCAGAAAACAAGAGGGAACCAGGGTAGAGATATGAGTGCCACTTAGCTAGTTCTCCCTACTCCAGCCAGTAGACAACTGTCACTTTTCATCAGTCATGATTTTAGCAAAGAAAATAAAACTCCCTGGCAACTATCATGGTAAAGTTTAATGTTTTTTCTTTTTTTCTTAATATGTACTTAGGTAAAGTACACAAAAGAAAACCATATTAGCACAAAACCACTGACACCACCACCGACTTTATTGTCTCCTTCTAAACATACTACAACAGAAGCAAGGTTTTTATCCCATGCATAGACAGTAAGTTATACTTTTTCTAAACAATATAGTTCCTAAAGCTCATAAAAGATCTTTAGAGGAGAAAGTTAAGAGAATGCCATGAACCTGCTTTTTTCACCTTCTCACTTCTTACATACAAAATCACTAGAGTGTACTGGCACAGGTATTTACCTACACTATATATGACAGTAAAACTGGAACAGTCCCTCCCTGTACAAAGATTCCCTCATCCAAATTAGGAAAAAAACTGGCAAATATGGAAGAATATTTTAAAACTCCAATTCCCCAAAAAGACCCCGGCAAAGAAATCTAAAGTTCACCAAGATTCTCTTTTTTTTTGAGACGGAGTCTCGCTCTGTCGCCCAGGCTGGAGTGCAGTAGTGCGATCTCGGCTCACTGCAAGCTCTGCCTCCTGGGTTCACGCCATTCTCCTGCCTCAGCCTCCCGAGTAGCTGGGACTACAGGTGCCCGCCACCACGCCCAGTTAATTTTTTTTTTATTTTTAGTAGAGACGGGGTTTCGCTGTGTTAGTCAGGATGGTCTCGATTTCCTGACCTCGTGATCCTCCCACCTTGGCCTCCCAAAGTGCTGGGATCACAGGCGTGAGCCACCGTGCTGGGCCAAGTTCACCAAGATTCTTTTAAGAGCTTGCTGGGAAAATCTAGTTTTTTGTTTGCTGATTGTTAGGCTTTTTATTTTTTTCTTTTTTGAGAAGGGAGGAAGGAAGAAGAGACAAATAGGGAAAAGAGAGAGAAACTGGAATATAAACATAAAGTTTAAACAAGGATGTGTGCCCTTCGGCAAAAGAAAAAGAAAAGGAGATAAAACTGTAAGAATGCTGTGAATGAAGAAATACACTAATTATACAGTAAAAGTGTGCAGTTCAACTTAGGGAAATTTTCTTTGTGATATATAAAGTTTATATAGCATTCTACAGAAGGCAAATTATGAGCCACTGTTCTAACCAAGACAATTATGTCCACTCAAAATAGGCAATTAAAAATTTATCATTATTGAAGTTTTTTTGTTTGTTTTGTTTTGTTTTTGAGAAAGGGTTTCACTCTGTTGCCCAGGCTGGATTGCAGTGGCACGATTTTGGCTCAAGGCAACCTCCCAGGCTCACGCGATCCTCCCACCTCAGACTCCCAAGTAGCTGGGACTACAGGCACACACCACCATGCCTGGCTAATTTTTGTATTTTTTGTAGAGATGGAGTTTCACCATGTTGTCCAGGCTATTCTCAAACTCCTAAGCTCAAGTGATCCACCATGCCTGGCCCCCATTATTGAAGATATTAATAATTCTATTTTTCAGCATATGAAAGATGCTTCTGTATTTGGGGGTCTTCAGTTCATTTGAGTAAGCTTTTGAATGAGCATATTACCATCGGTAAAAACACGGCTTCCCTGTAACTCCTTATCTCTAACTATACAGACTCTGCTAGGTTAACATTAAAAGGTAAGCTTCTGATTTCTGCAGCAATTTGAGCAAAATGAAATCTCAAGTAATTCTTTTTGGTTGTTAACTGCCTAACACCCATGAAGAAAACTGAAGAGAGAGAATAACTGTGAAATAAGAAAATTTAATTAGCAATCTAGTACAAAATAAGTGAATTTTAAAACTATATATGGTACGATGAAATTGAGTATTAGAAATAGATTATAAATCAGCTGTTGATATATCCAATGTAAGAAATTAATATGCAAATTAAAGGGAAATTAACCTAAAATGTAAATTATATATTTAAATGTAACTATTTTAATGCTATCTGGCACATGCCCATTTCTTCGATTTTTTTCCTTGGGGTTACTACTAAATTAACCAAGTCTCCATTTTTCTCTGTGGGGTGGGTGGTTGGTTGTTTTGTAGGTGTGGGGGTGTGTGTGTGTGTTACTTTATTTGTAATTCTGTAACCTGGACATACATTTTTTCAATCCTTCTGGAATAAAACATGTCACTATAAAACCAATAGCTAATATAAGCCACTAATTTAGAAGATATATTTTACAGCTGCCTTTAATATTTTACACTAAAATAAAAAATCTTTCTCCTTTAAATAATTTTTAACAGATGATTACATTGTGATAGTCAAAACACAAGATAATATTACATATCTACTTAACTGCGACCTATGTGCATATTTGAATTGCAAACACAGCCATTTACTCTTATCTACATGACCTACCTATATCTACATTTGAGCCTTTTGGTCTTTCATTAATGGAAAGCCCTTAAGAAGCACATCCTTCCATTACACATGCTCCCACCCTAGCTCCTGTGAAACACACCTGTTAACGTTGTGACACATGCGAGGTATAAGCCTAGCCAGAAAAATAAGTGATTCCCAGTCAGGTTCATCTTTACTGGAGATTCCACACACGTAACTGTAGGAACGACAGTCACCCTGAAAATAAAAAGATAATCAATAATTTTTAACAGTCAAAAGTTTAACTTGACTTTAAACTTAAACTCGGTTTAACTTGACAACGCTGGTTTTTTTAAAAAGAAAAGATGCATTGAAAAATATCTTATGCATGGTGACACTATTAATAGTTTTTTTGAAATCTGAATGAAAGTATATACTAGATGCTTCTTTAATGGTATGAATAAATTCCAAATTAAAATCCCATATTAAATCCTACCTGAATCAGTTAAGACATACATAAGGTATCATGGTAACATCAAGAATTTAGGCTGAGCACGGTGGCTCATGCCTGTAATCCCAGCACTTTGGGAGGCCGAGGTGGGCAGATCACCTGAGGTCAGGAGTTCAAGACCAGCCTGGTCAACATGATGAAACCCCCTCTCTACTAAAAATATAAAAATTAGCTGGGCATGGTGGCATGAACCTGTAGTCCCAGCCACTTGGGAGGCTGAGGCAGGATAATCGCTTGATCCTGGGAGGCAGAGGTTGCAGTGAGTTGAGAGATCACGTCACTGCACTCCAGGCTGGGTGACAGAGCGAAACTCTGTCTCAAAAAAAAAAAAAAAAAAAAAAGAATTTATTCAACATTCCCATTACCTGCTAACTGTGGTTAATTTGGCAGACAAGGCCAGGTACAGAAGCTCACACCTATAATTCTAGCACTTTGGGAGGGCGAGGTGGGTGGGTCAGTGGAGCCCAGAAGTTTGAGACCAGCCTGGACAACATGGCAACACCCTGTCTCTACAAAATATACAAAAATTAGCTGGGCAGTGTGGTGGCATGTACCTGTAGTTCCCGCTACTCAGGAAGCTGAGGTGGGAGGATCACCTGAGCCCAAGGAGGTCGAGGCTATAGTGAGCAGTGATCATACCACTGTACTCTAGCCTGGGCAACAGAGTAAGACCCCATTTCAAAAATAAATAAATAAAATCATGAAAAATTGTAATTTGGCAAACAACATCTGCCCATGTTTTTGAGTGGATAAAGAATTCTTAAGTGGGAGACAAAAACGATTCATAAACATTTACTAATCAATGTGTTTAAGTATCAGCTTAAAAGCTAATTTTAAAATAAGTAAATAAAACTGATTATAATTTATTCTCTTTCCCTGTGTCCTGTTCAATCCAAGTAATTTGCTTTTTTTATGAAAAGCATTTTAAAAAGTAACAGATTAGAGAAGTACCTAATGCCCAGAGTGGCAGGTACTAAGAACGCGAAAATTCAACATATGTGAACGCTAATGTGATAGCATCTATAAAAGTGTAAAATGGGCCGGGCGCGGTGGCTCATGCCTGTAATCCTAGCACTTTGGGAGGCCAAGGCGGGTGGATTGCCTGAGCTCAGGAATTTGAGACCAGCCTAGGAAACATATTGAAACCCCGTCTCTACTAAAATACAAAAAATTATCCAGGCATGGCGGCGTGTGCCTGTAACTCCAGCTACTCAGGAGGCTTAGACAGGAGAATCGCTTGAACCTGGGAGGTGGAGGTTGCAGTGAGCTGAGATCATGCCACTGCACTCCAGCCTGGGCAACAGAGCAAGACTCCATCTCAAAAAAAAAAAAGTGTAAAATGTACATTTAACACAGAAAATGATCCTACACATGGATAACTGATGGGATGCCTATATAATAAAAAACTGAGAACAGTTTAAATGCCCACTGGTTAGAAGAATAGTTAAATAAATGATGGTACGCATAGAATATGAGGGAACAGTTAAGAACAATCTACTTGGAAAGGCACAGAAAGGTAAGTTCATGATGCTCAGTTAAAAGAAAAGTTGACAATGTGTACCCCAAATCCCCTATTTTCTTTTCAAAGTGTTTCTGGAAAGACACATACAAAACTTAACTGGAGAGTAGAAATAAAAAGAATTTTTTTAATGTATTTTTGATTTTTTACAAATATGGTTTACTTTGGTATTTAGAAAATAAAATGCGTTCTTATACTAACCATGAACCATCATTTTTATCTGGGCTTGCAAGGGTCTAAGCTTCAAAGGGTAAGAGACGAAAGTCAGTTATCCAATAACAAAAGAAAATTAGGCCGGGCGCGGTGGCTCAAGCCTGTAATCCCAGCACTTTGGGAGGCCGAGACGGGCGGATCACGAGGTCAGGAGATCAAGACCATCCTGGCTAACACGGTGAAACCCCGTCTCTACTAAAAATACAAAAAACTAGCCGGGCGAGGTGGCGGGCGCCTGTAGTCCCAGCTACTCCGGAGGCTGAGGCAGGAGAATGGCGTAAACCCGGGAGGCGGAGCTTGCAGTGAGCTGAGACCCGGCCACTGCAGTCCAGCCCGGGCGACAGAGCGAGACTCTGTCTCAAAAAAAAAAAAAAAAAAAAAAAACAAAAGAAAATTTTATTTTGGTGGGAATAGTAGTGGAGCCTGAATAAGTTTCATTTTCAAAAAAGAAATCACTTATTCATCAAATTACCTCAAATATCTATTTTTTGTAACATTTCTCTAAAAAGAAGAGTAGGGAACTATTTCAACTCAACTCCCTGTGTAGCATGAGTTAGTATACAGACGTGGAAGTTCTCTGTAACAAATCTACTTAAAACTGAGAAACTTTTAAGAATTAAATAACCTGTCCACAATTCTATTTTTATATATTAGGGTAATACTGCCTGTAAGTATCATTGCAAATTTCAAAATAAATTTGTATGTGAATGAGATAATCCATAAACCACTGAAAGAAAACATCAATAACTCCAAGTAAGGTTATTTCAATAGTGATTTTAAAACAACATAAGCAGCTTACAGGCTCTATCACTTTCATGAAATAAAATATTTTAGTTTACTTTAAAAATAACAATCAATTTTTTCTAAGGCGGAGTTTTGCTGTTGTTGCCCAGGCTGGAGTGCAATGGCACGATCTTGGCCCACTGCAACTTCCGCCTCCTGGGTTCAAGCAATTCTCCTGCCTCAGCCTCCCGAGCAGCTGGGATTACAGGCATGCGCCACCACACCCGGCTTATTTTGTATTTTTAGTAGAGATGGGGTTTCTGCATGTTGGTCAGGTTGGTCTTGAATTCCCGACCTCAGGTGATCCACTCAACTCGGTCTCCCAAAGTGCTGGGATTACAGGCATGAGCCACTGCACCTGGCAACAACCACTTTTTATCTTGTTTTATTTACAAGCAGAAATGCATGAATTCAGAGCAAAGAGGAATTTAAACTGACAGATTCATATATTTAGAAAAAATACTTATTAGGTTTTAGATGAATAATCTCCAAAACAGTAGAACTTCTTTCTACACATAGTTTTACTGTAAGAGCACATTATAAACACATTAACCCAATAACTGGCACTTATACCATTTTTGAGTTGAACTAGTGACACCTCTTCTAGTTTCCATTTAACCACACACTTGAAATAAAATAACCTTCCTCTTCCCTACCCTCCCACACTTTTGTTCCCCAAAAACTCATTTAAGGATCATATAAAGGCCGGGCACAGTGGCTCACACTTCCAATCCTAACACTTTGGGAGGACAAAGTGAAGGATCACTTGAGGCCAGAATTTCAAAGCCAGCCTGAGCAATGCAGTGAGACCCTATCTCCATAAAAAAATTTAAAAATTAGCCAGGCATGATGGTGCATGCCTGTAGTCCCAGCTACTTGGGAAGCTGAGATAGGAGGGTCGCTTGAGCCCAGGAATTCAGGGCTATAGTACACCATGATCACATCACTACACTCCAGCCTGGGAGACAGGGCAAGACCCTGTCTCCAGAAAAAGAGGAGAAATTAACATACTATCTTATGTATTTTACTGGTTTTTAGCAGGTGATTGTATTTGGTATCTCCTTGAGTTGTGTGTGCTATGCACTATGCCAGAAATTCACAGCTGAGGGCTAGGACTATGAAGAAGTCTTAGGATAAGAAATGCAGATTGGCCGGGCGCGGTGGCTCAAGCCTGTAATCCCAGCACTTTGGGAGGCTGAGACGGGCAGATCACGAGGTCAGGAGAACAAGACCATCCTGGCTAACATGGTAAAACCCCATCTCTACTAAAAATACAAAAAAAATCTAGCCAGGCGAGGTGGCGGGAGCCTGTAGTCCCAACTACTCGGGAGGCTGAGGCCGGAGAATGCCGTGAACCCAGAAGGCGGAGCTTGCAGTGAGCTGAGATCCGGCCACTGCACTCCAGCCTGGGTGACAGAGCTAGACTCTGTCTCAAAGAAAAAGAAAAAAAAAAAAAAAAGAAATGCAGATTATATTTACATACATTCAGGCTTTAGTACCCTGTCACCAGCAAGTGATGCACCTTATCTGAGTCAAATATTATCTCTAATGCTTTTTGCCATAAAGTAAGTTTTGTCTGAAATTACGTTATTAGTCATTTTGCAAGTAGCATTTTATAATTGAGAACTGTATTATTCTCATGTTCTTTTACAACTAGAAAGGCAGAATAAACACAAAAAACATCAGCAGAACATGTTCCCTAGCACAGGGAATACACAAGCTGAGAACAACACCTAAATAGTGTAACTTACATCTGGAGGCCTTCCTGCAGTTAAAGACTTCTAAAGTCACAGTGTATTTCACATCTAGAAGGATAAATGACCTCTTGATCCCTGCCCTACATGGCAGAAATAAGCATGCCAACCCTATAGGAAAGAGCTGCTTTCAATATTTGCCTTTGGTTAGAGTTCATAGATGTTCCAAAACTACAAAATCTCAACCTATTTAGTTCCTGTAACTATTCACTCCCTAAACATTCTATAAAAAATTACCTTCTTATTTCTCTAAACTTGGTATATATACTTACATATTTCATTTTTCTAAGTAATCCTTATTTCAATATTAGTAGAAAGAGTGCTTGAACCCAGGAGACGGAGATTGCAATGAGCTGAGATCATGCCACTGCACTCCAGCCTGGCCGTCTCAAGAAAAAAAAAAAGTGTATCACTGGCGAATGAATTCACACAACTCACCTGCACACCTACAGTTTTAATTGGCAGCAAGAAGGCATTCAGTGAATGCAGACTGGTAATTTGCATCAGCTTCTCCTGATCCTCTTCTGTTGTGCAGGCTTTGACTCTCTGTAATAGGGTATGTGGCTGAGAAAAACCAAAGAGGCATTTTTTCAGTTTTAAGAAATAAGGTATTCACTCTTTTATTATCTACTACTATCTTATGTATTTTACTGGTTTTTAGCAGGGGATTGTATTTGGTATCTCCTTGAGTTGTGTGTGCTATGCACTATGCCAGAAATTCACAGCTGAGGGCTAGGACTATGAAGAAGTCTTAGGATAAGAAATGCAGATTATGTTTACATACATTTAGGCTTTAGTACCCTGTCACCAACAAGTGATGCACCTTATCTGAGTCAAATATTATCTCTAATGCTTTTTGCCATAAAGTCAGTTCTGTTTGAAATTAATATAGCTCTACCCATTTCTTTATTTACCTGGTATATGTTTTTCCATTCTTTAATTTTCACTCCTCCTATCCCTAGGTATTAGTAATGTCTGTTATGAACAGACTATACTTTTCATATCTACTATTCTATACTAAACAGATTTTAGTTTTCAATTTAGTTTGACAGTCTATGTTTTAACTAGGGATATTAGTCCTTTTAATGAGTTATCAATATAGTTGAATTTCATTCTACAATCTTATTCTGTAATTATCTATTTATCCCACTTTTTACTCTTACTCGTTTTTGTTGTCTTTTGAACTAGTGATTTCTCCCAGCTCATTTATTTCCTCTTTACCAATTTTGAAGTTAAATCCTCTATTTCTATTCTTGCAGTAGTTGCCCTTAAGTGTTAACAAGGATACTTAAAAGATAATCAATCTTCTGTCCTTCTGGCAAATAATACAGGCATCTTTGAATTCCTTAGCTCAAATCAATCTCTTTGTGGCTTACATGTTACTTCCGCTAAACATTGTTACATATTTTCTAATAAACAAGAACAAGTAGGTATCATTTTTACCTCTACTCCCAATTTTATAATTATTTTTATCATTTTATATAGTCCATGTTTGTTTCAGTTTTACTCATTTACCATTTTCTTTGCTTAGCATTCCTTCTTGTACTCACGACTTTCTCCTGGTATCCTGCTGTTTCTCCTGAAGTCAGTTCTTTAAAACAATGTTTCTCAGCCGGGCGCAGTGGCTCACGCCCGTAATCCCAGCACTTTGGGAGGCCGAGGCGGGTGGATCGAGACCAGCCTGACCAACATGGAGAAACCCCATCTCTACTGAAAATACAAAAGTAGCCAGGCGAGATGGCACATGCCTGTAATCCCAGCTACTCGGGAGGCTGAGGCAGGAGAATGGCTTGAACCTGGGAGATGGAGGTTGCAGCGAGCCGAGATCGTGCTATTGCACTCTAGCCTGGGCAACAAGAGCAAAACTCCATCTCAAAAAAACAAAACAAAACAAAAAAAGTTCTCAACCCTAACTGCACAAATTACTTGGGATGCTCAGGTCCCATCTCAGACCAATTAAATTCTAGGGCTATATATCAAGAATAGTATACTTCAAAAGCAAGGGACTATTAGTAGTAAATTCTATTTAATCTCAAAATAACTTTATTTTGCCCTTGTTTTTAAAAGACAGTTCAGCTGTTCACTACAGTTAATTATTTTCTCTTAGCATTTTGAAGTCTTACCTTTACTGTTTCAGTATAATTTCCTGGGTAGGTAATTGATCTGTTCTCTGCAGCTGCTCTGTCTTTGGCAGTCTTTAATTTCTTTAAGATATGCTTACTAGGTGTCAAATTATTTCCCTTCATTCTGCTTAAGATGTGTTACGTTTCCTGAATCTGAGCCATCATGTCTTTTACCAGTGTGGAGGAATTAATACATTTTTGTCTATTATTTCGTTCTGGACATATGTTAGCACTTGCCTTATCCTTCTATCTTAACCTTCTGTACCTATATTTTCTTTATGATGATTTGTACTAATTTCTGGACAATCTCTAAACAACTTTCTTTTAGTTCATTAATTCTGTCTTTAAGCTGTTTTTCAGTTACTATTTTCATTCCCAGAACTTATTTTCAAATCTGCCCAGTTATTTTTAGTAGTCTCTTATACATTATTCTTATTATCAACAGCATATTTCTATTTACTTTACATATTGCTTGTTAATTCCAGTAAAGTACTGAGGGTCTTGTTCTGACAGTTTTTTCCCTTCTCATTCATGGTGCCATACTTCTATATGTGATTTATATTTTTTATTATAACCTCGTATTTGTTGGAATTCTATCTATGAGAATCCTTTGGGACCTAGGTGAAGATAATCTAAAGAGAATCTGTATTGCTCCTTGCCTAACTCCCACAAGCACTACCAACCAAGATCCACTTTAAAATTCTTACGTTGCAATTTTCAGACCACGCACATTACATAAATTAAAACCCCACATCTGTAGAATAAAGTAGACTGGGGAACTTTTCCATTCATCTTCAATTTGGAGCTAAAGTGTTGCATAGTGTGAAGATATCTGATCCAATCTCTGGCCCTTCTTGGATCCAGTCTCATACTCAGACACCTGTACATAAATGAAATTGTTAAAACCCAAATCCTAGACCACACAGGATTTGAAGCTGTCCTCAGAGGAGCAGACAGCTTTGGTTTCTTGAAATGATGCTCCCAATAAATTCCTGATTCAAAGGATTTCCCTTACTTTCTTGCAATACACATAAGACAGTGCTTTAAAATACTTTATCTGACATTTTTAGAGACTCAGGATATCCAGTCTTGTTTCGCTGGAAGGAAAAATGTATATATAAGAATATCCGTGGAATACTTTCTCCACAGTCATTTCAAAGGTTACATTGCTCCAAATTTTCAAATAATAAAACCCTAAAAAATTCATTATAAATGCTGGTATATAGTAAGAATCCATTCAATTTCTTGTAATGATCAGCTGTGTCAAATATTACCTTTTTAACACTTGCAGAAAAATCAGCTACTATTTTCAAAATATTGTTGGTTTCAGGAAAGTCCTTACAAATATAAGGTTCTTCAGCACATATAACTCTGATTGCCAGGCCAGGACCTAAAGGTAAGAGTAAGTATTTAACATTAATGTTATATCTCCAATATAAAAATCTAATATAAAAATGCCACTATTTTCAAAATATAAAACGTTTCCAAAATTAAAATCCATCTGCCATCATAAGTATCCAAGTGTAGCTATTAGTTTCCCATTCAACTCAGCATTCTTTAGAATGCTTCAACATTCTAAAAATGTTGTAACATTTAGAATGCCGCAACATTTAAGTTATGTACACTTTTTAGTCTGCATAACTTTTCGGCATGTTAGTCTCTGTCCCTAAGTTTCTTCATCTATAAAACAGGATAATACTATCATAGTTTCCATTGTGAGGCTCAAATAAGACGACATGTTTAATTCTCTCCCTATCATTCCTGTCTCTCTTTTTAAGAGATAGAGTCTTGCTCTGTCACCAAGGCTGGAGTGCAGTGGTGCAATTATTGCTCACTGCAGCGTCAAATTCCTGAGCTCGAGCAGTCCTCCCACCTCAGCCTCCTAAATAGCTGGATTACAAGCACACACAGCCGTGCCTGGCTAATTTTTTCAGTAAAGGCAGGGGTTTCACTATGCTGTTCAGACTGGTCTAGAACTCCAGAAGCTCAGCTTCTGGAAATGCTGGAATTATAGGCGTGAGCCACTGACTGCACTTGGCCTATCCTATTTTTACAGTCCATGTATTAAGTATCACAAAATTATCCAGTTAATATTTTTAGTTTATAACATAGGTGCCAATCTATTCAAAGTTTTTAATAAGGGAATTTTCCAACATATACATAAACAGAACAGTATAATTAACCACCTTACTCATCATCCAGCTTCGACTATCAATCTGATTTTAGGAATGGTATTATACTGTTAAAATATATACATAATCAAATAAATAATGTGAGTTTTTAATACCAAAAAATGTGAACTGGTATTTCTATTTTATTTTGACAGACTCTCATTCTATCACCCAGACTGAAGGGCAGTGGCAAGATTTGAGCTCACTGCAACTTCCACCTGCCGAGTTCAAGAGATTCTCCTGCCTTACCCTCCCCTAGCAGCCACCAGTAGTACCTAGTACAGGCATGCACCACCATGCCCAGCTAATTTCTTGTATTTTTAGTAGAGACTGGGTTTCACTGCATTGGCCAGGCTGTTCTGGAACTCCTGACCTCAAGTGATCCGCCTGCCTAGGCTTCCTGAAGTACTGGAATTACAGGCATGAGTCACTGCACCCGACCTCCATTTTACCAAATACTTAAAAGTTCGTAAAAACACAAGGTGTGTATAGACGTATGAAAAACTGGATTCTGCTGCTTTACTACAACAGAAGAGGCATCACTTGAGATGCCTAGTTGTAGGCAAAACCTCAGCTATGTCCATTAATTTCCTAGTCCATTTTTTACCTTTAGAATAAACAGCATATTTAAGATAGTTTTTAAAGTAGCAAAACAATTTTTGCTAATGAAATCTTACATAACAGACAACTCAACATACAAAGTAGATTTTTAAAACATCAAGTGAGTCTAGATGAAATAATGACCAAGGACATAGAACACTTGGCTTCCCTCCATTACATTCACAGATCATTCTTTTTTTTTTTTTCAAGATGGAGTCGTGCTCTGTTGCCCAGGTTGGAGTGCCGTGGTATAATCTCAGCTCACAGCAACCTCCGCCTCCTGGGTTCAAGCGATTCTCCTGCCTTAGTCTCCCGAGTAGCTGGAATTACAGGTGCCTGCCACCACACCTGGCTAACTTTTGTATTTTTAGTAGACTCAGGGGTACAGGCATGAGCCACACGCCAGTCCACAGACCATTCTTTGCCAGCATGCAGGTTAGGGACTAAAGATCTCAATCTGATTACTAGATTTGAGAACAAGTGCTAATCACCACATAGGTTACACATCTGTAAAGCTGTTTATGGAGCCAATATGATCACTAAGAGTATAAACTCAGAGCTAAAAATCATTGGGGATATAATTCTGGCTCCACTCCTTTCAATCTGCATAACTTTTGGCAAATTAGTTGCTTTCCCTAAGTTTCTTCATCTGTAAAACAGGATAATACTAGTTTCCATTGTGAAGATTAAATAAGACAATAAAAGTATTTAGCAGAGTGCCTAGCACATACAGAGTACTCAAGAAATGTTGGCTATTATTCTGTTTTTCAATTCGATTAGGTCATCTCCCAAATCATCCCCTAATCACTACTACAGTGAGCTAGAACCTGAGGTACAGACTTGCCCAACCTCTCAAGAAATAGTAACAAAAACAGGTTAAGACCTGCAGTCCTAACTTTAAACAAGTATCACCTCTAATTTTTTTCTATATGACAGCAAATGGAGTATTATTTGTTCAGGAATTAGTTACACTGTGCCAAGAAGAAGTGGTTCATCCATTCAAACAAGTCAGACATAGGACAAGGATTTTAAAGAGCTAAGTTTAAATCCTCACATCTTCCATGGAAAAGACTATGGTATGGTACAAAGAATATAACAAATCCTAGCTCTACTACTAGGACTGTGTGGCAATGTTATTAAAATATCTTGATGTCTTGGTTTTCTCATCTGATGGCAACATCAGATGCCAAACTCCCAAGGATAATGTAACACTGAAATGCAAAGACAATGGAAAATGAGTATTTAATAAAATGAAGTAAATACAGTAGATACTCAAAAGATTTCAATTATTCCCTAACCATCCTTTCCTTTCTCTCATGTTACATATTCCCTGAGATGACAGATTATTTCAGAATTGTATGAATTGATTTTTCTTCAACATGAAGGTCTAAAGATGAATCAGGCCGGGCGCAGTGGCTCACGCCTGTAATCCCAGCACTCTGGGAGGCCGAGGTGGGCAGATCACGAGGTCAGGAGATTGAGACCATCCTGGCTAACACGGTGAAACCCCGTCTCTACTAAAATACAAAAAAAAATTAGCCGGGCATGGTGGTGGGCACCTGTAGTTCTAGCTACTCGGGAGGCTGAGGCAGGAGAATGGTGCGAACCCAGGAGGTGGAGCTTGCAGTGAGCCGAGATCGCGCCACTGCACTCCAGCCTGGGTGACAGAGCGAGACTCCGTCTCAAAAAAAAAAAAAAAAGAAAAAGATGAATCAAACAAAATTCAATTCTAATTTTTACCTGGAAATGGATGCCTGGAAACTAACTCTTCTGGAAGTCCAAGTTCTCTGCCCAAAATTCTCACTTCATCTTTATGAAAATCTTTCAGAGGTTCTATTACTTTTCCCTACAGGGAGGAAAGAAGCCAACCAATACAAATTAGTAACCAAGATGACATGACAAACAAAGGGTAATAAATTATTGGCTTTTCCTGTTACCATTTCTCTTAACACTAACAGATTATTATTAAAAATGCATCTTTTAAAGTATTTATTTCTAAATGCCTATAAGGAATTAGATGAATATTTTAGTGCTATTATTTCTCTTTGAAGCACATTTTAAACATAAACTTTTTAAATGTAAGTAAATCAGGGTAAACCAATCCATCATCTCTGATCTAGTTCTCATTAGAACACAAAGCAATTAGAAAATATACTAGTGTTCCAAAATTAAAATTCTCCAAATATTATCACTGAGAAAATGAAAAGACAACTCACAGAACTAGAGAAAACATTTGCAAATCATATATCTGATAAAAGATTTGTAACCAGAATATATAAAGAACATTTACAACTCAATAATAAAAAGATCAATAAGTCAATTAAAAAATAAGCAAAGCTAATGGGTACTAGGCTTAATACCTGGGTGATGAAATAATCTGTATAACAAACCCCTATGACACAAGTTTACCTATGTAACAAGTTACAGTTACCTATGTAACTACACTTATACCCTTGAACTTAAAATAATTTTTTTTTAAAAAAAGGGAACAAAGGATATGAATAGACATTTCTCCAAGATACACAAATGGCCAATAAGCAAGAACATGCAAAAATGCTCAACATCATGAGCTATTAGGGAAATGCAAATCAAAACACCACTTCATATACACTAGGATGACTAACATTTTTATTTACTTTTTTTTAAGACGGAGTCTCACTCCGTTGCTCAGGTGGGAGTGCAGTGGCACAATCTCGGCTCACTGCAACCTCTGCCTCCCAGGTTTAAGCAATTCTCCTGCCTCAGCCTCCAGAGTAGCTGGAACTACAGGCATGCACCACCAAACCTGGCTAATTTTTTTGTATTTTTAGTAGAGACAGGGTTTCACCATGTTGGCCAGACTGGTCTCGAATTCCTGGCTTCAAGTGATCCATCTGCCTTGGCCTCCCAAAGTGCTGGGATCACAGATACGAGCCACTGTGCTGGGCCAGATGACTAAAATTTTTTAAAGTCAGATAACACATCCATAAAAAAATAGAAAATAACAAATTGTAAGCATTTGGAAAAACTGGAGTCCTTATGTACTTTTGGTTGGATTGTAAAATGGTGCAATTGCTATGGACAACAGGTTCCTCAAAAAAATTAAAAACAGAACTACTATATGATCCAACAATCCCAATTCTGGGCATATATCCAAAAGATAAACAAAAATGGATAAGCAAAACGTGGTATATACCTATAGTAGTATATTACTCAGTCTGTTTTTTGTTTTTGAGAGGAGTTTCACTCTTAATGCCCAGGCTAGAGTGCAATGGCAATCTTGGCTCATTGCAACCTCCGCCTCCAGGGTTCAAGCAATTCTCCTGCCTCAGCCTCCCAAGTAGCTGGCATTACAGATGCCCACCACCACGCCTGGCTTATTTTTGTATTCTTAGTAAAGACAGGGTTTCACTGTGTTGACCAGCTGGTCTCGAACTCCTGACCTCAGCTGATCCACCCGCCTCAGCCTCCCAAAGCACTAGGCATGAGCCACTGCGCCTGGCCCATTATTCAGTCTTAAAAAAGAAGGAAATTCTGTCACATGCTACAACATGAATGAACCTTAAGGACATTATGCTAAGTGAAATAAGCAAGTCACAAAAAGGCAATACTGTATGATTTCACCTATATGAGGTATTTAAAGTAGTGAAACATAGAAACAGAAAGCAGAATGGTGGTTACCAGAGGGTGGGGGCCAGAAAAAAGGGAGAGTTGTTTTTTAATGGTATAGAGTTTGTTTTGCAAGATGAAAAGTTCTGAAGATCTGTTTTACAACAATGTGAATACACCTAACACTACTGAACCTTATATTTTAAAATAGTTAAGATGAGGCTGGACGCAGTGGCTCGCACCTGTAATCCCAGTACTTTGGGAGGCAGAGGCGGGTGGATCACCTGAGGCCAGGAGTTCAAGACCAGCCTAGCCAACATAGTGAAACCCCATCTCTACTAAAAATACAAAATTAGCCAGGCCTGGTGGCACACGCCTGTAATCCCAGCTACTTGGGAGGCTGAGGCAGGACAACTGCTTGAACCAGGAGGCAGAGGTTGCTGTGAGCCAAGGTCACATGACTGCTCTCCAGCCTGGGCAATAGAGTGAGACTCTGTCTTTAAAAAAAAAACACAAAACAGGGTTAAGATGGTAAACTTTATGTTATGTGATTTTGTGTTTTTTACGATAAGAAAAGAGATAACAAGTCTTGGTGAGAATGTGGAAAAATTTGAATCTCATACGTTTCTAGTGGGAATGTAAAATTGTATCGTCATTTCAAATAATAGTTTGGCAATTAATCAAAATGTTAAACCTTAAGACCTAACAATTCTACTCCCAGGCATATACCAAAAGAAATAAAAACACATATCCACAAAAACTTATGACCAGTATTCATAGCAGCATTATTTACAACAGCCAAAAAGTGGAAATAACCCAAAAGCCTATCAACTGATCAATGGATAAATACAATGCATTATACCCATAAGATGGAATATTATCTGGCAATAAATAGGAATAAAGTTCTGATACATTCAGCAACATGGATGAACCTTGAAAACATTACGGTAAGTAAAAGAAGCTAGTCATAAAAGACCACATATTGGCTGGGCGCAGTGGGTCACGCCTGTAATTCCAGCACTTTGGGAGGCCGAGGCGGGCAGATCATGAGGTCAGGAGATCGAGACCATCATGACTAACACAGTGAAACCTCGCCTGTACTAAAAATACAAAAAAATTAGCCGGGCGTGGTGGCGGGTGCCTATAGTCCCAGCTACTCGGGAGGCTGAGGCAGGAGAATGGCATGCAACCAGGAGGCAGAGCTTGCAGTGAGCCCAGATCGCGCCACTGCACTCCAGCCCGGGTGACAGGGCGAGACTCCGTCTCAAAAAAAAAAAAAAAAGACCACATATTGTACAATTCCATGTATATAAAATGTCCAAAATAAGCAAATCTATAGAGACAGAAATAAATTATTGGTTGGTAATTGCCTAGGGCTGGCAAGAAAGGAGGAAAGGAAGAGCTGGGGAGTGGGGGGAGGATGACAATGACAACAGGTAGAACAAGGAGTGACTGCTAATGGGTATAAGGTTCCTTTTTAGGGTAATGAAAATGTTCTAAAATTAGATGTGGTGATGGCTGTGCAACTCTGTAAATAATAGGAGGGAAGAGGAGGGAAGAAAGGGAGACCTTCCATGTCTACTGTATGAAAAAGTTCTCATAAACTTTTACCTCCTCTCTCAACTTTCTGATGAGCTCTGTGTCATTGTGATGGGTTTTGATGAGTTCAGCTTTGCCACTTGCAACAAGGGATGCACTTTCAATTAGATCAGGCCGTAAAGTACCTTGGGCAAGGAAAACCTCCTCTGGTTTCAAGTTCATTTCCCCAATTACTTCATTGGCAATCTATAATCAACAGGAGTAAAACAGCCTTGTAAGAGAAAAACTTTTTTTAAAGCAAAAGTTTATACTTTCAGCTAAATCTCCTACAGTCCTTTAGAAACACTGACCAGAAAATAAAATCCACCAAGCCCCAAAATAAACTCCTTTATGAACGTGTCCTTTAACATGATTCAAAAAGGTACGTGAGGCCGAGCACAGTGGCTCACGCCTGTAATCCCAGCACTTTGGGAGGCTGAGTGGAGCGCATCACTTGAGGCCAGGAGTTCGAGACCAGCCTGGCCAACATGATGAAACCCCATCTCTACTAAATATACAAAATTAGCAGCCAGGCATGGTGGCTCACACCTGTAATCACATCACTTTGGGAGGACAAGGCAGGTGGATCACGGGGTCAGGAGTTTGAGACCAGCCTGACCAACATGGTGAAACCCCATCTCTACTAAAAATATAAAAATTAGCCAGGCGTGGTGGCACATGCCTATAATCCCAGCTACTCAGGAGGCTGAGGCAGGAGAATCGCTTGAACCCTGGAGGCGAAATTTGCAGTGAACCGAGATTGCGCCACTGCACTCCAGCCTCGGAGGCAGAGTGAGATTCCATCTCAAAAAAAAATAATAATTAAAAAAAAAAAAAATAGCTGGGCATAGTGGTGCATGCCTATAATTCCAGCTACTCCAGAGGCTGAGGCAGGAGAATCGCCTGAACCCAGGAGGCGGAGGTTGCAGTGAACCGAGATCGCTCCATTGTACTCCAGCCTGGGTGACAAAGAGCAAAACTCCGCCTCCAAAAAACAAAACAAAGGTATGTGAACATTCCATTCAAGAGCTTGAAATTAGCCATTGAGATAACCAATGAATTAAAGTCTATGATCAGCTGAAGACATCTATTCTTAAAAAGTTAAAATAACAGTCTGGCAATGTAAGCAAACATGTTTATTAAAACATAAAACAGTTGGCTGGGCATGGTGGCTCACACCTGTAATCCCAGAAGTTTGGGAGGTTGAGGGGGGCGGATCATGAGGTCAGGAGATCAAGACCATCCTGGTCAACATGGTGAAACCCCGTCTCTACTAAAAGTACAAAAATTAGCTGGGCATGATGGTGCACACCTGTAGTCCCAGCTACTCAGGAGGCTGAGGCAGGAGAATCATCACTTGAACCCAGGAGGAAGAGGTTGCAGTGAGCCGAGATTGTGCCACTGCACTCCAGCCCAGCCTGGTGACACATTGAGACTCCGTCTCATAAAACAAACAAACAAACAAACATAAAACAGTTTCTACTGGTCAATATGATGACAATATACAGTAAAACTCTCAGCCACATAAGAAAAAGGAAAAAATTAGCAAATTTAGTTATTTGATATAGTGACAAGGAAAAACAAATACAAAGATTCACATCAAAAACAGTACATGTTGAGGATATTAAAAACAAAGGTACCTTAACAAAAGTATCCCCAATGATTTTTCTTTTCTCTTCAGGACTTGTGGTCATATTTAACGTTTTGCTAATTCTTTTCCGTGGGGTTCTATCTTCATCTGATATTGGTAGGGTTGTTGTTCCATTGTAGAAAGAATGAGCAGCATTTATCACTAGAGGAAAGGGGAGAAGCATTTGAAATTGGTATAACATGCTTTTTTAATCAAAAATAACAAGTCAAACTACAGAAAGAAAAGTTTATTTCTTTTCCAGGCTGAAGAACAGTCCATGGTTCCTTTGATCTCCCCTAAATCTGCCTACAAATTTCAATAAACTATCAATATTCAAGAATTACTGGCCAGGCCCGATGGCTCACACCTGTAATCCCAGCACTTTGGGAGGCCGAGGCAGGCAGATCACGAGCTCAGGAGATCGAGACCATCCTGGCTAACATGGTGAAATCCCATCTCTATTAAAAATACAAAAAAATTAGCCGGGTGTGGTGGCGGGGCACCTGTAGTCCCAGCTACTGGGGAGGCTGAGGCAGGAGAATGGCGTGAACCCAGGAGGCGGAGCTTGCAGTGAGCCGAGATCGTGCCACTGCAATCCAGCCTGGGCGACAGAGCGAGACTCCATCTCAAAAAAATAAATAAATATATAAAGAAAGAAAGAAAGAAAGAAAGAAAGAAAGAAAGAAAGAAAGAACGAACGAACGAACTATCAATACATCCTGAGTAAAAGAATTCAGATACAGGCACTCATTAAATGTTGTTTCTGTGAGAATCTCCTGGCATTTAGATCTAGGGCCATGACATCACAAATTATGTTGATTAGGACTGGCACGGTGGCTCACGCCTGTAATACCAACACTTTGGGAGGTCAAGTTGGGTGGATCACTTGAGGTCAGGAATGTGAGACCAGCCTGGCCAAAATGGCAAAACCACATCTCTATTAAAAACACAAAAACTAGCTGGGTGTAGTAGAACATGTCTGTAATCCCAGCTACTCGGAGGCTGAGGCAAGAGAATTGCTTAAACCTCGGAGGCAGAGGTTGCAGTGAGCCGAAGTCGTGCCACTGCATTCTGGCATGGGCAACAGAACAAGACTCCACACAAAAAAAATAAAATTATGCTGATTATTTTCCCTCTGTTCAGTGCTTCATCAGAGCAACAAGCAAACGCCACAGCAAGAAGCATAGCCCCAAAGGAGTCAAAAGCGCTGGTTCCTAAACAGAATCAAAGTCGTTTGGAATCACATACTAGTGTCTTGTAAAACTGATATTTATGAACACACGTTTAACAATCCTTGGCTTTTTATTTAACGACAGGAAACTAAAAACTGACTAAGATCTCTATTTGCTAATAAAACTTAGCTACTGGAGGCCTTCACTGTAAGATGACAAGGCAGCTTGCTATTTCATTGTGGAAAACCCAGTGAATTTGTAGGTCTTTCCTGAACCTGGTCAACTATCCAGAGAAGACGTATCTACTCTCCTGCCTATTGGCATTCTGGCAGTTGAACAGAAGAAGTGGTAGCAAAAGGGAGTTGCCATTCAGGATAGAGACTTTTAATTCATCCTGTTCTTAATGTAGAGTCTTACCTCCACCCTCAACTATGCCTGGTATTAGTAGGCTCAAGTCCAGAACCTCTCTTGTTTAGCCCCTCTAGAGAATATATCCACAGTGTTCTGGTGGGGAAGGAGAGTGCAGTTTGCTCCTGTGCTAAGGAAAAGGATCTGCTTCTCAGATATTTAATCCATTTTAGGCTAACCCAGAGACCAACGACCCAAAAAGAACCCAATGCTTCAAATTCCTGAGCCTCCTCAGAAGTCTACAGCACAAATCAGCTTGCTTTTTGTTGGCTTCCTTCCCACCCCACCCCAAGGTTGTGAATTCCTTCATTCTGCTATGTCAGTTACCAGGGACAGATCCAAGTTTTACAATTTGAAGGCCTCCTTCAAGAAACAGAACAAATAAGATATTAAAAATCTTAAGTTATACTGGGATGGCTACCAAGTACATAACTATACACAGAAATAATTGCAAATCACACATATACCTCTAAACCCATACTAAGCACATCCCCAGCTCATCTTTGCCTTAGCCTGATCTCAAAATGCCCACGGCCATTCCAGCACCACCTAACAGAGAACAAGTTAGAGTTGAAAGAAAATAAACAACTACAAATTATCAAAATATCTTACTTGCAAATTTCACAAAAACATATGACCATGTGAAGATACCATTGGGGACCTTCCCAGGATGCTGGGAGAGACCTCCCTAGCTTAAACACAGAAAATCCACCTCTACCCATCTGCTTTCTACTTCTAAAAATTTTACTGAAAGCATCTGTCTGCTATCATCTCCTCTATCCCTCGTCCTTATGGTATTACACTGTTTTATGCTTTTACTGTTATTTTAGAGAAGTTTCAAAGAAATAGATTCATGTTCACATCATGCTTACCTACAAGTCTTCATTTTATTCAGACTTTTGGTATCAATTCCAATTAATTCAATAATATGTACAATAACTTGTATCATTAAACTACTGACCTCATTTCATTATAACTATCAATTGCACCTTGTTTTTAAAAAGTATAAAAGGTAACTACAAAAGTAAATGTTATTAAGGACTAAGAAATTTATTAGTGGCCCTTTAAAAAAAAAAAAAAAGTAACTATAGAATCTTCACCTCTCCCACAATAAGCTTTCCTGTTTGCAAAATAATCTGTATATCCACACCTGAGGAGGGTTTGGATAGCCTCGTGCTATATAAATATCATGAAATAGAGTGGGAAAAGATAATTTTTTTTCTTTTTTTTTGAGATGGAATTTCGCTCTTGTTGCCCAAGCTGGAGTGCAGCAGCATGATCTCTGCTCACTGCAACCTCCACCTCTCAGGTTTAAGAGATTCTCCTGCCTCAGTCTCTCGAGTAGCTGGGATCACAGGCGCCCACCACCAAGCCTGGCTAATTCCTTGTATTTTTAGTAGAGATGGGGTTTCATCATGTTGGCCAGGCTGGTCTCAAACTCCTGACCTCAGGTGATCCACCCACCTTGATCTCCCTAAGTGCTGGGATTACAGGCGTGAGCCACCGCGCCTGGCCAGGAAAAGATAATTTTAATAGCAAATGACTAGAAGAGAACTGAACAGTAGCTGGAAAATGTTAACTTATCAATCTATGTATAAAATTAGCAGAATCAATAGTTTAAATATTTATACTGAGACCTCTCTTACACCAGAGGTAATTGTAAAAATGAAAAGCATTTTCAACCTTGGCATACTGAGAAAACTGTAATTGTGCTCACTTAAACCATAAGACTAGATTTGATTACACAAGTCCTAACATGTAAGTTAACTTTTCTGGGGTTCTTCAATACCTTTGACCTGAATTCCAAGCTTTTTGAGGGCCTCTTCAACAGACTGGCTTTCTCGTTTTCTCATAAAGCCATTATCAATGTGTACAGCAATGACTTGATCTTGGTTCAAAGCACGATTTAGCAAAGCTGTACAAACTGTTGAGTCTACTCCACCACTGAGTAAAACCTACGAGGTAAAATGAAAAATGAAACTAAGCAAAACAAGCAAAAAAGAAAATAAACACTATCAGCTTAAATCGTTACCTAAAAGCGCTATTTCTATCAAAGATATGTATGGTAACTGGAAAAACACTCTAAAATTATAGAACATTTAAGGGCTGTGTTGAGGACTCTAGCTCTTGGATTCCACCATTATTGATATAAATTTGTAGACTTCTAGATAATAAATTGCTTACCAAAACTTTTGACGTGCCTACTCTCTCTTTGATCTCTCGAATGCACTCAAGTTCTCTGTTCTGCACCGTGAAGGTTCCACTGCACCCAGCTATATCATAAAGGAAATTCTTCAGTATTACTTTTCCATTTTCTGTAAGGCCAACTTCAGGGTGGAACTGTGCTCCATATAATTTTTTAGATTCATTTGCTATGCCTTTATAGAGAAAATAGTCACAAATTAAAATGTTTTCATGCTGAAAAGACTCAAGCAATAACCACAATTAATTTCTCACAATCTCTGCCTCTATGGTTTAAATTTTTTTTCTTTTTTTTTTTTTCGTAGACAGAGTCTCACTATGTCACCTAGGCTGGAGTGCAATGGCATGATCTCGGCTCCCTGCAACCTCCGCCTCCTGGGTTCAAACAATTCTCATGCCGCAGGCTCCCAAGCAGCTGGCATTACAGATGTGTGCCACCACGCCCAGCTAATTTTTTGTATTTCTAGTACAGATGGGGTTTCAATATGTTGGCCAGGTGGCCTCGAACTCCTGGCCTCAAGTGATCCACCTGCCTCAGCCTCCCAAATGCTAGGATTACAGGCATGAGCCACTGCTCCCAGCCAATTTTATTTTATTTTATTTTATTTGTTTTTTTCTTTTGTTTTGTTTTGTTTTGTTTTGAGACGGAGTCTCACTCTGTCGCCCAGGCTGTAGTGCAGTGGTGCGATCTCGGCTCAATGCCACCTCTGCCTCCCACGTCCAAGCGATTCTTCTGCCTCAGTCTCCCAAGTAGCTGGGACTACAGGTGCCTGCCACCACGCTCAGCTAACTTTAAAAATATTTTTAGTAGAGACGGGGTTTCACCATATTGGCCAGGCTGGTCTTGATCTCCTGACCTTGTGATCCGTCTTGGCCTCCCAAAGGGCTGGGATTACAGGCGTGAGCCACCGAGCCTGGCCTATTTTATTTTTTAGGCAGGGTATTTACTGCTCTGTCACCCAGGCTGGAGTGCAGTGGCATAATCATAGCTCACTATAGTCTCGATCTCCTGGGCTCAAGTGATCCTTTCACCTCAGCCTCCTAAGTAGCTGGAATGACAGGTGCGTGCCACCACACTCAGCTAATTTCTAAATATTTTGAAGAGATGGGGTTTTATCCTGTTGCCTTGCTGAACTCCTGGGCTCAAGTAATCCTCCTGCCTTGGCCTCCCAAAGTGCTGGGATTATGGGTGTGGGCCACTGCACACAGCCTTCTTCCTCTATAAATGTTAAAACTGATATGTCTCACTGGATTTTTAGCTATAGGAAAAATAAATACATAACAAAGACAAAAACTACATTGCTGTAACCTTTCTTTATAAAGGTCTTTCTTGACACAGCAATTAATGAGCTAGAGGACAGTATATTAAGTCCCACACAGAGATTATTTAACAGTATTCTCACCTCTCCACCCAAGTTACTTCAGTTGCCTTGTCTATCTAGTGCATTGATAATTCAGTTTTGGTTCTCATGTTGCACATGGCTTTCAAATGCATTGTACAGCTACCAAGTTCTCATATTAAAAGAATCTCATATATCAGACTTGTCAGAATATACTGTTTCTTTCTTGACTACTATTAACCACAAATACATATTCACCTACTTGACTAATGTGTTTCCAGTAAATATTACCTATGGGGAAATAGATGTTAGGCTAGGTATTTTACATGTGCATGTGTTACCCCTATTTTATGGCTCTGAGATATCGAGAAACTTGTATGAACTCTCAGGTAATTAAGTAACTAAATCAGGCCTGACAGGCTCCCTAACTCATACTCATTCTACTACACCACAGTACTTCACACCTTATTTGGCTCTCAGGATACCACTCTCTTGGTTTACTTATTTTACTGCCTATTCCTTCTGAATCTCCTTTGCTAGTTCCTCTCCATCTTGCCCATCTCTATACATGGAAGTTACTCAGTCCTCAGCCCTTAAATCTCTTTTCTAAACATTGAGAGATCTCACACTCTCATCACCTTAAAATTCTGTCTGTATGCCAGTAGACTCCCAAATTTATACCTCCAGTCCAGTTTTCTCCTCTGAAGTCCAGGCTCACATATACAACTGCCTACTCAGCACCTTTGTTTTGATGTTTAATACAGCACCTTGAATTTAATATTGCAAACTCAAACTCCTGAGGTCTTTCCAATCAGGTAATTAGAAACATTTTCCTTTTGGTTCCTCAGGCCAAAAAACTTGGGAGTTAAAACTTGATTCTACTTTTTCTTCCTCACTCCATATTCAATCTAACAGCAAATCTTGTGTCTCTCCCTTCAAAACAGTGGAATCCAATCACTCCTAACAACGTCTACCTCTATTACCCTAGTCCTGACAACTTCCACCTCTGTCAACCTGGTCCTAACAACTTCCTCTTCTACTGTTATAAAAAAAACTGGGTTCTTTTCCCATAACCAGGAAAAGTTAGGCACGCAGACACTTTGAAAGGTAAGGAGTAATGGAATTTATTGAGAAAAAAGGAAAAATCTCTCAGCAAAGTGAGAAGGCTTCCTGTTAACAAGCCCCCATCTCACAGATGGAATCCCAGGTCACCACACAGGAACAGGAAAGGCCAGGCTCCTCCCTCCTGCAAAGGGTGAGAACTTCCTGTGGCTCCACCCTGTTCTCCCAGTAGGCAGGCTGGTGGGAGATTCTCCAGGTACCCTCCCCTTTTATCTTCCTCCTGCATCTATCACTACTATCTTGATCCTGACAACACTGTCCCTCTCCTGGTTACTACAATAAATTCCTAGCTCGTCTTCTTACTTCTCTTTCACCCTCTATCTTTTCTCCTCATCACAGCTTAATCCTGAAATTAGATCACATCTCTCCTTCATTTAAAACCCCACCTCACTATGAGTAAAGCCAAAGTATAGGAGTGGCCAAAAGGTCCTATGTTCTGGCATCCAACTACTTCTCTAACTTCACCTTCTTTCACTCTCCCCGTCATGCTTACTCTGCTCCAACCACGTGGATTCCTTGCTGCTCCTCAAATATGGTACCCACCCAGGATCTCTACTGCTGTTTCCTCTTTCCCCAAATATCCAAAAAGGTTAGCACTTATTTTCTTCGTGTCCAGTGTCATCTTATAGGAATGCCTTCCCTGAATAGCCTATAAAATTGCAACAACCCTAATCATACATATTCCAGAATACCCTCTTCCCCCTTAGTTTTTCAATGTAAACACTATCTGACTCTGACATATTCCGTATTTCTTTATTGTTTACTTTCCTTTTTTTCCAGTGTTAAACAAGAATTTTTGCTATATTGGTTTTAGGTTTTGTTTTCTTTTTAAGGGAGAGGGTCTTGCTCTGTTGCCCAGGATGGAGTGTAGGGGTGCAACCACAGCTCAACACAGCCGTGATCTCTTAGGATCAAATGATTCTTCTACCTCAGCCTCCTGAGTAGCTAGGACTGCAAATTTGCATCACTACACCTGGTTAATTTTTTTAAAATTATTTTTATGTAGAGATGGAGTCTCACTATGGTGCCCAGGCTGGTTTCGAACTCCTAGCCTCAAGCTATCCACCTTCCACAGTCTCTCAAAGTGCTGAGTCACAGACTCTCAAGTGAGAGTCACCACACCTGGCCTGTTTTATTCATTGCTAAATCCTTGACACCTAGAACTGTGCACGACACATAGTAAGTACTCAAATGTTTGTTGGATGAATAAAAATACACAAGCCTATCTACCACTGTTGGTCTTTTTTTTATGAAGTAAAACCATTCTTGAGCATTCCTATGCTAATGTCGGTTAAGTAACTGCAAGCAGATTACTAAATTCAGCATATCCATGACAAATCTTTTTTTCAACTTATTATTTAGCTGTGGCATCTCAAAGAGAACTTGATTGATAAACCCACCTTTTTCTTTCACTGACTTCCAGGACTATTAGTGACCATTTACATTATTCAGGTAAGCAAGTCAAAACCCCAAACAGCCAGAAAGTCAATTTCCCTTCCTCAAAAAAGTAGAGAACAAAATGGTTTAAGGGCATGGGTCAGCAAACTTTCTGCAAAGGACTAGAGAGTAAATAGTTTAGGCTCTGTGCAACATATACAGTCCTTATATTTTATTATAACCCTTTAAAGATGTAAAAACATTCTTAGCTCCTGGATATTAAAAAAAAAGGCAAAAGACGAGATTTGACCAACCACAAGTCACAGTTTGCCAACCCTGGTTCAGGGAAATCTCTTGAGTACTTATTTGGGTGCTATGGGCTATGTATACCTAAGAAAGGAATAAAAGACAAGTAACTCTGATATAGTATAGTAGGAAGAGAGCAAGTTCTCAAATTTTTCCTGAGTCATAAAAGTATAGTGTTTTATGTTTGAGAAGCTTATATTAGGATGAACATTTTTCAAAGTATTTCAAAGCAAACCAGTAAACCAGTAAGTGAGAGACTTCTGGATAATCCTCTTATTATTAAATTCCCTTCATAACAGTTAATCCTACATTCATTATTATCTTTTAAAAAAGAGAAGAAAAATCAGAAGAAAAAGGAAAAATCAAAGAGTACCTCATACAGAAGCATATGCTTACTCTTCAGATAAAGTTTTTAAAATGAACTCTGCAAAACTTTTAGAATTTTCACCTGCTACTATGTTTCCAGAACGTGCCACAACCTTGAATCCATCAGCTACTTTGTCTACACTATCTCCATGTGTAAGCAAAACAACTTCTTCCTTCTGAAGGCCCCTAAACATACAAAAAATAAAACACACAAATATCTTAATTAAAAACATGATTCCTGGGTTCTTTTGTTTTAGAAACACAAGCTTGCCATACATGATTAGAAAAACAGGAAAAAAAAAGGTGACAATGGAATACTGCTAGCATTCAAATATTATGTCCATTACAAATAAAGCCAATAAAAAACGATAAATCTTAAAAAAGGCAATCCATAAAAACTGGAAGGAAACTAGAACAAATAAATATATGCAATTGGTAGTATAACCAGACACCCAGGAATAATTTTAAGAGAGTATAGAACAATAATTTCAACATTATATATCTGTTGAGATTTATGTTAAGAACAGAGGTATTTCAAAGACCTTAACACTTCATTCGGTAGTCTTATGTAAGTAGTAATAGGACTCAGTACTAAAACTATTATCCTGTAACTGTAAGTACAGTATAGATACAGGCATATGGTAGGTTAAAACAAATAATATAATTAGCTATCAACATTTTCAGCTTAAGAGTAAGGAGATACAAAATCAAAAGAGTTAGGTAAAAACCCTATAATCTTTCATTTTAACTGGAAATAAGTATACACTAATGATTCTGTTTTCTAATTCTAAAAGACTAGGTACTGCCCAACTCTGTTATCTGGAAGTCCTAGAAACAATTACAACCCAGTACCAATGTGGACCTCTAGTGCTAAACAAATTAATGATACTTAGTTAAGAAAGTGTTACTTAAGAGATTTAAGTAACATTAATCAAATGTAATATGTAGACTTTCTCTGGACCCTGATTCAAACAAATCAACCATAAAAATATACTGTTTACGTTATGGAAAATAACGTAAGAACTCAATATTAAATAATATTAAGGCATAGCCAGGTGTGGTGGCTCATGCCTGTAATCCCAGCACTTTGGGAGCCCGAGTCAGATCACCTAAGGTCAGGAGTTCAAAACCAGCCTAGCCAATATGGTGAAACTCAGTCCCTACTAAAAATACAAAAAAATTCGCCTATAATCCCAGCTACTCAGGAGACTGAGGTGGGAGAATCACTTGAACCTGGGAGGTGGAGGTTTCAGTGAGCCGAGATCATGCCACTGCACTCCAGCCTGGGCATGCGACAGAGCAAGACTCCATCTCAAAAAACAAATTAAATTAAATTACAAAATAAATAATAAACATTAAGGAATAAAAATGTAAATTAAAAATAAAGCAAGAAGATAAAGTACATTAATGCCAAAAAGATATTTTGGGGTTTGTTGTTGTCATCATTGTTTAGGAATAGTGTAGGTTGTGATAGAGTCTCAGAATTTTAGAACTAGAAAGACAGAAAAATGTCAAATCTTAACCAAATCTTTATGTTTAAAGCTTCTTCTGGTATATCACAAACAAGATTCCTGAAATGGTTTTCAAGATTAGTCACATGAAATAAGGATGAGTGTATGTGTCAACACCTCTCCATTATGAAGCTGAACAAGCACTGGCTCTCAAACTCATTTTGGCAATAACTTCAGTTTAAAAAACTATTCTGAGCAACCTTAGCTTTTTTATTAATCTTCCTTTGAAAAATAGTAATCTTCGGCAGGGCACGGTGGCTCATGCCTGTAATCCCAGCACTCTGGGAGGCCGAGGTGGATAGATCACGAGGTCTAGGAGTTTGAGACCAGCCTGGCCAATATGATGACACCCTGCCTCCACTAAAAATACAAAAATTAGCCAGGTGTGGTGGCTCACACCTGTAGTCCCAGCTACTCGGGAGGCTGAGGCAGAAGAATCGCTTGAACCCAGGAGGCGCAGGTTGCAGTGAGCTGAGATGATGGCACTGCACTCCAGCCCAGGTGGCAGAGCAAGACTCCGTCTCAAAAACAAAAAAAAAAAAAAAGAAAAAGAAAAATAATAATCTTTAAAAACAGATGAAAGAGTGAAAAGGGAAAATACGAATGTTGGTATCACTATATATGATTCCAAATAGGGTTCCACAACTGCACAGGTGTTTTCAAATTTCTTAAATACCTTCCTTACTCCCTATTAACATCACCACCATCCCATGTTGTCTTGACACTCAACTGGAAGGCAAACGTGACAATTACACTTGTGGTCACTACTATACCCTTAATTTTGTTTATGAATTATAGAATCTCCAATTGTGAAAAATAACAGTATCAACTTTAAATTAATTACTACTGTTCTTATTCATCTAAAAATGTAATACCTGAATAATGAACATGTATTATCCACACTAATGTTGAAAACTCCATCTTCTCTAACACTTTTTTTGTGCACAGTACCTCCAAATACCTTATTCATCATCTGTTCAAAGAAAAAAATTAATGTTAATAGAAACAAAAGAAAAATACCCATTTTGTTATACTGATTTAATAATTTATATTATTTCTTTTCAGAACACCTGATATATCTGTATCCACAAAATAAAAGGAGTTTAATAAATGTAGATCATTTGGTATTGTTATATATAACTATACAGTTATTAACAGGCATTGTTATAAAACAAAATTGGATTCAAAATTCGACTTAGTGTACTTTAATGAATTCATCTGCTTAAAAATAGATATCTTAATTACTTACATCTGAGTTTGATTTAAAAGCATTTTAAAAGGTATTCTGAGTTTGGAAAAAGCTACAGCAAACAACAAGAACCTTGTACCAGAACAAGAATTAGACAATAAATTTCTCCAAGCTATTTAAATCTTTGGCTCCAAAGGAACAGTCTGAAAGCCTGCCGAAGGCTGTGCTGTAAAGATGGGAGAAGCAGGAAAATCTGGCCTTTCAGTTAAGCTCATCTGTTCGAGTCCAATACGCTTATAGACTGATTTCAAATGGTCTCTTCAATTCAGCACCTCCTCTGTTAATCAATCTTCTTTTCTTATTTATCATTTACATGTCCCAAATTTCCCACCTCAGATAAATATACACAAGATTTTTGCAAACATTAAATCTGCAGTGATATAAACACTCCCACTCATCTTAGTGCATCTGTTCCACAACAGGTATCAGAAGATATCTGCCTTAATGCAGGTTGACCCAGCCCCTGACAGAAAATAAGACAGACGACTTAAATAAATGTTCATTCTTGTAACTCAGAGTAGCATATTCTTCAAAACCATTACCAAACGGTGCCCTCTACATTCTCCTTTTAGGTATTCACAATACACTGTCCCACAATAAAGGTTTGCGTTCGCTCCAGCAGGAAAGACACCTGCTAGCACTTGTTTAACACAGTATTTGTCAAACTAAAGACTCAGAAACAAAACTCTTTACTGTAGCACATTAACTAACACGCAGTTTAAGCAACATTGCTATGGTCTAATCAGTTCCCTTGACTCTAGTCTTGCCCATCTTCCAGCAATGTTCTAGAGACCTACCAATGTTAGCTACTACAGTATAAAGATGCTTCTATTAGTCTATGATTAAATTCTTCATTAGCGCTCTAGCATCTACAGCAAGAGTTGGTAAACTTTCTGTAAAGGGCCAGAGAAAAATATTAGCCTCTGCAGGCCCTACTGTGTCTGTACCAACTATTCAGTTCTTGCCACTGTCGCTCAAAAGCATCCATAGACAATACTTACAAAGAAATGGGTGTGACTGTTCCAATAAAACCTTATTTATGGACACAGACTTGAATTTTATTTTCACACATCACAAAATATAATTTTTTTCAATTTCCCAATCACTTAACAACGTAAAAAAATCATTCTTTGCTTGCAGGTCATGCAAAAACAGGGGGTAGGCCAGATTTGGTCTATAGGCCATAGTTCACTAACGCCTGGTCTACAGGATAAAATCCAAGTTCCTTATATTAAACATAAGACTTCCTTACCTGACCCTTGTCTAATTTTTGGTTTCACCTTCCCCCTCATTTTCTACTCCAGTCCATTCAAACTAGAGTGATTATCAAAACAGACTATGTTCTGTCCTCCCTGTCTTCAGGTCTCTTTACAGCCCAAGGGCCCTAGCAAAGTATATGGCCAGTATGTATTCCTGATAAACCCTGAGGTTCTAACTGCCTCAAGGAATCCCATATAGTACTCCAGGTCCACCACCCAATCAAATCAGCTCCTCTTATCTTTCTTATATATCAAAGTTTTCTAAGTTTTAGAATGAGAAGGGAGAAAGGGAAGGAAATTCTGCCCAATAAAAATAATTTGACAAAATCTTGTGAGAGTATATAAAAAGCCAAGTGAAATCATAAAGAGTGAAGAGACAAGTCACAATCCAGAAGGTATCTGCAATAATATATAGTTGGGAAAAGTTTAGTATCCAGAATATATAAAGGCTCCCACAACACAATACCAAGACAATTTAATACAAAAATGAACAAGTATCTACAGTAAAGCAGACACAAATGGCAAATAAACATATGAATCTTACAATAACAAGGAAAATTAACTTTGAGACTACAATGTGACCCCCATTTAATACCTCTGCAGATAAGAAAATACAAAAAGAAATCTAATCATGTCAAGGGTTGGCAGGGATATAGAGCAGAAGATGTTTTTATATATTGTTGTGGGAACATAAATTGAGGGAAAAAATTATCATTTACCTAGTGAAGCTGAAAATGTACATTATGACCCAGCATTCCTACTGCCAGTTACCCTGGAGAAAATTTTGTGTATGTATAACACCAGAAAACAAGTACAAAAATATTCATGGCAATATTGTCTAAATAGAAAAAAACTAGAAAGCTAACAGTATGAACACTGGAATGTAAAAGTAACATGCTATATTCAAACAAATTCAATAGTGAAAATGAATAATTTACAGTAAAATGTACTAACATGAACGAATCTCAAAACCAAAGCTGAAAATAATACACGTAGTATGACTTCACTTATATATAGGTCAATAGACAAAACAAATATATTATTTAGGAATATAAACATACACATAAAACTATAAAAAAAAAGAAACGGAATGAATAATAAAATTCAGGAAAGTTGGTTGCCACTGATAGGAAGAGAAGAATGTGAATGGAGACATACAAAGAAAGTTTCAAAAGCTCTACCGATATTCTGTTTTTTTATGCTGGGGGGGTGTAAATCAGTAAGAGATATAAAAGGGAGCAGTATAGATATTTTTCTTATAAAGCAAAGAATCACGAGGAAGCAATTAGAAAGGCTCTGTCAGGAGAGTCCAGTTAATGGGAAAAGATGGTATATAAGACACTGAAATTGCTCAAATTTCAGAATGTCATGGGGGGCAAAGGTACACACTTAGGTCCTAAAAATTACCCAACCTAGTCACTAAGTGGCAGCACTTTACAAACAATACATTAGCTAGACAGCATCATCTATATCCTTATTTTATGGAAGGACAAATTCTGCCCAAATAACCAAGATCGGCATATCCCATTATCTTACTACAAAAGTTCACATGATAATAAAGGCAAAAATTGTTATGCATAACATCAGCAGGCCTGGCTTTGGCTGTAAGATATCCTATCGAATGACAGAACAATTTGGCCTTATACTTGTATCAGGAAACTGACATAATGGGGAAACACTAAGCCATTATCTCTTAAATTAAAGGAGCATTTTTCAGACATATTTCACTCTAAGTAAGCCCTAAAAATATATCTTGTGAGATTCTTCCTTAGGAGAAGTTACAATGCCTCTCAATATACTAACAACCATTTAATATAAGTTGTGCTATATGATTAACATTGAGTACTCTGACAAAGAAAATCAGTAAATTATATAAATATATGACACCCTGGGACCAAAAAAAAAGAAGCCAGCCAATATCCAACATTCAACTCAATCAGGGTACAGGCTCTTCTAAGACTACTAGATGGAAAAATCTTTCTATTTGCCAAGTCAAATTCATAATCACTTTTCAAAGAACACTGAAAGGAAAAAAGAGGCTTTTACTATAAAATGCAAAATTGTACACCTACTTTGGAACACAGTTTTGGCAATTTCTTACAAAACAAAACATACTCTTAAAAAACGATTTAGTAATCATTCTCCTTAAGAATTTACTGAAAAAGCCGAACATTTATGTCCACACAAAAACCTGTACATGGATGTTCACAGCAGCTTTATTCATAATTACCGAAACTTGGAAGTCACCAAGATGTTAGTAGATGAGTAAGTAAACTGTCACTTACTGAATGAGTGAGTGAATGAACTGTGATACATCCATACAAAGGAATATTATTCAGTGCTAAAAAGAAATTAGCTACCCAGACTGAAAAGACATGGAAGAACTTTAAATGCACATTACTAAGTGAAAGAAGCCAATCTGAAAAGGCTACATACTGTATGATTCCAACTATATGACATTCTGAAAAAGGCAAAACTATAAAGATGATAAAAAAATTTGAGTGGTTGCCAGGAGTTGGGGGATGAATAGGTAAAGGATTGGGCAGTCAAAATACTATGCATAATACTCCAATGGTAGATACATGTCATTATACATTTGTCCAAAACAATAGAATGTACAAAAATCAAGAATGAACCCTAATGTAAACTAAAGACTTTGGGAATAATGATGTGTTGATGTAGATTCCTCAGTTATATCAAATGTAACACTGGTGTGGGATACTGATAATGGGAGAAGCTATGCATGTGTAGCGGTTGGAGGTATTTAAGATATTTCTGTACCTTCTTAATTTTGCTGAGAATGTAAAACCACTCTAAAAACAAAGTATTTGGAAAAAAAAAAAGAAAGAAAAGAAGACGAGTACCTTATCTCAAGATCTCAGTAAGTCCCTACTTATTCTTACTTTTTTTTTTTTTTTTTGAGGAGTTTCGCTCTTGTCATTCAGGCTGGAGTGCAATGGCACTATCTCCGCACACCGCAACCTCCACCTCCCGGGTTTAAGCGATTCTCCTGACTCAGCCTCCCAAGGAGCTGGGATTACAGGCATGTGCCACCACACCCAGCTAATTTTGTATTTTTAGTAGAGACGGGGGTTTCCCCATGTTGGTCAGGCTGGTCTCGAATTCCTGACCAGGTGATCCGCCCACCTCAGTCTCCCAAAGTGCAAGGATTACAGGCGTGAGCCACCACGCCTGGCCTATTCTTACTTTCAATATAAAACCAAGGTACATATACTTATTAATTAATGTTACAGTGGAGACACCTGACAGATACCATCTTGATCAAATAATCCAAGTTAACATCACCCGTCATGCCACAAATCCACACCGTGTGCCGCCTGACAAGATGCTCTGAGAAGCACAGCACCAATTCTGTGATATTCCTGCCAAAAGTTCATAACCTGAATCTAACAATGAGGAATCATCACAGAAAGCAAAGTTGGGAAATGTTCTACAAAATAACTAACACATGCTTTTTAAAAATACTTTCATGGTCATGAAAGAGAAGGAAACACTGAGGAACTGTTTCAGACTGAAAGAGTCTAAAGAAACAACAACTAAAAACAATACATAGTCCTGACTGATCTGTGGCCTATAAGGGATATTAATGAGACAAACTGAAATGTGAAGGAGTCTGTGGATTAGATTCTAACAATAAGTCAATGTTAACTTTTCTGACCTGGATAGTTGTACTGTGGTTAGGCAGTGAGAGTGTCCTAATACTTAGGAAATATAAGTAACAGGGCATCACGTGTGCAACTTTCAAACGGTTCAAAAATGTCAACAACTGGAGTATTAGGTAAAGGTATACAGGAGCTCTGTGTACTATTTCTGAAAATTTTATGTAAATTTGCATGTCCAAGGTTTTTTTAAATGGATAGTGTTTTGTTACATGAAATAGTATACTTACTACTCTGGAAATAGATTCCCTATCAGGCCAGTTCTGCCATACTAGTGTGGTAATTCACATATTTGTAATATTTGCGCAAGTTATCTCATCCAACTAATCCTAAATATCCTAAAGAGAGAAAATACTAATACAGTATGAGTCACAAACAGAATAAAATATAAGTAAGCTTTCAAAACAAATTTGCTGACATACCTGCATGCCATAGCAAATTCCAAGAACAGGCTTGCCAATAGTGAATATTGCTGGATCAAACCACGGAGCATCTTCAGCATACACAGAATTAGGTCCTCCAGAGATGATAATAGCACTGTGATTTAAGGAACAATCAGTGAAGAATCTCTGTTAATTTTTACACAAGGTCTATGCCCTCTCTCCCTTGTGCCACTGAGGGAAACAACACAGATTCAGAAATTTTGTTGTTTTTGGTAGAATGTAGCAAATTCTAATTATATCACAGCGAATTACCACCCTACACGGTTTAATTATTTTTACTGTACTTTACTGCAATGTTTAGAAGTCTATCAAGCATTTACTTGTTAATAAGCACAAACTTCCAAATAGATAATACCAATGTTTCTATCTGCGATATTTAGCATGGATTTGTTTTACTTATTTCCTTATCAGTGGAAGAAGTATGTAAGAATTCTGGAGATGGTGAAAACACGGGTCTTCTCAGAGCCTAGCAGGTCACAGAACAACTGAAAGTATTATGAAGGCCCTGGGTGGCTCAGAGCAAAATACTCTACAACAAAAGACGGCAGAATAGAAAGTATAAATTACCTAACTTTGCCTGTTTACAGCATCCACCATCCCCAGCAATTTTCCCTGAGCCCAAGAAAGGGAGCTAATAACAATTCTGCCCCACATGCCCTGCTCTCAGAAATCAGGCCAGTAGTATAATTTAGCTACCTTACAATTTGCAGAGCATGGGTTAACTTGGGAGTCAAACTACTACACTAAGGGAAAACTCCAAACTGAGGCCTATGTTCCTCTCCTGGCCATTAATACATCTACACTGGCCATCAGTATTCACTCAAAAAATTTAAACATTTTAATATCAGGAATTTCACAAAAATTCAGATTTCTGGATTTTCTTTAGGGAAAAAAGAATCTGGAAACACTGGGCCTTCACTCCTGTATAACTACAACCAACTGGAATCATAAAGAGGCTTGCACCTTCAAGCTGCACATGCTCTCCAGTTTGCCACACATGCCCACTCACATAATAAAGGTATACTTAGTCCCTTTATTCAATTTAAGGTACTCTCTAACTCATTTTGAGTTTGCAGATAAATCTGTTTCATCTGTATTTCAAAGAAAAAGGCATTGTAAAATCTAATCAAAATTTACTTACAAATTTGGATTGCAACACACTTTTTAATTAGTCGTTCCCTGTCATATAAAAATATACAAAGTATATTGCTAGATTTATAATACATCCAGAAGAATAATATGACATAAGTCAAATTTATTTTTTTAAAAAATCTCAGTAAGGCTGGGCATGGAGGCTCACACCTGTAATCATAGCACTTTGGGAGACAGAGATGAGCAGACTGCTTGAGCCCAGGAGTTCAAGACCAGCCTGGGCAATATGGCAAAACCCCATGTCTACAAAAAATTTTAAAAAATAAAAAACAAAACAGTGAGAGAGAGAAAAAAAAAAAAAAATTCAGTGAGCTAGGTCATTTTTTTAAAAAACAGCAATTTCAATGAGCTCAAAAGCACCTTTTGAACTTTGTATGAGCAACCTGAGAGTGGTAAACATTTGCCAGCATGTGTCCTGCAAAAGAGAGACGGATGACAACCTATTCAGATGATAAATATGAGATCTTTAAGATAACAATTCTAAAGGGAAATGGGGTTACCCCTAAGGGTAGATCTATAACCTAACTCCTTAAAAATACAGAAGCTAAGGCCGGGTGCAGTGGCTCACACCTGTAATCCCAGCACTTTGGGAGGTCGAGGCGGGCGGATCACGAGGTGAGGAGATTGAGACCATCCTGGCTAACATGGTGAAACCCTGTCTCTACTAAAAATACAAAAAATTAGCCAGGCGTGGTGGTGGGTGCCTGTAGTCCCAGCTACTTGGGAGGCTGAGACAGGAGATTGGTGTGAACCCAGCAGACAGAGCTTGCAGTGAGCTGAGATCGCGCCACTGCACTCTCCATCCAGCCTGGCAACAGAGTGAGACTCCGTCTCAAAAAAAACAAAACAAAACAAAACAAACAGAAGCTGAAATTCTATAAAACATACTTAATAACCAAGACCTCTAGATTCTATTATATTATATTTAGTTTCACAAAGGATAACCACCATGGGACTGCCTAGTACTCCTTAATCTGCTAAATAACTCAAGGATATAAGATTCTTAGTGCTATTAAAAAAACAAAAAAGTCATGGACTTAGTTAAGGATAAAACTCAAGCAGTACTTAAACCAATTATGAATGTCTTATTTCAACAAATCTTTAAAAGCTAATCACTCTCTGAGCCTTCCATTTCTACCCTGCTATTTTGAAACTAACTTGCAATTACAAGGCCCAATAAGCCATAATTCACTCCAAATACCAATTTTATGTATCAGGCAGATCAAGTTTCTAAAAATAGATGGGCCACGTGGGGTGGCTCACGCCTGTAATCCCAGCAGTTTGGGAGGCTTGAGGCGGGCAGATTACCTTAGGTCAGGAGTTCGAGACCAGCCTGGCCAACATGGCAAAACTCCATCTCACCTAAAAATAAAAAAATTAACCAGGTGTGGCAGCACCTGCCTGTAATCCCAGCTACTCGGGAGGCTGAGGCAGTAGAATCTGCCAGGTTGAACCTGGGAGGCAGAGGCTGCAGTGAGCCGAGATCACACCACTGCATTCCAGCCTGAGCGACAGAGTGAGACTCCATCTCAAAAAAGTAATAATAATAACAAAAATAAGTAGGTTAAGATGTCTCTCATGTCACAAGATGTTCTAGAAAAGGGGTGGTCAAATAGTTATTTCTGCAGAAAGGATTACAGTAATAAAAGCCACAGTGATATAGTTCCTATTCTCCTGCTACATAAGGGAAATTTGAGGTACAAACTGAACCTAGACACTGTTTATGATCAAGTGACATGAAACCCATTAGATTTCTCTCGCCAAGTATTCAGCTATCCTATTCTAGTATCTATTTAGTCTGTTACTTTGCTGGGGATTTTTCATTTGTTTGGGGTGAGGGGAATGATGGAGCTCTGATCTGACAGAGAGCCATTCAGATTTATCACAAAGTTTTTTGATCCCTCTAAAAAACTAGTTCTTACTGGTAAATAGTCAGCTGAATTAGATAAACTCAAGGGTCCCTTGTTACTCTAAAATTCCATAGTTTAAAAGAGAAAGTCATTTCTTATCTGTATCCTAACACTAGAGCAGAATTAAATTTAAACCCGCCTTTTCTAATTTCTAATTCACTCTACTTCAGAGCCAAAATATCACAGGATAATGCACACATGTCTGTGAAGTCTTTAAAAGTTCTTTTAACCACTTTCACACTAGAAAGATAATTCTTTTAAGAAAAATAAAATTTTAAATTTTGGGAGAAGCATAGTACATGTAATATTAAAGTTTAAAAGCCAATTAAGGACATAAACTGCAGTTGCTTGCTTCCACATAACAGTCTTAATCTAAGAAAAAACAACAATTAAAAAAAAATTAAAAAGCATGACATTGGCCGGGCACAGTGGCTCACGCTGGTAATCCAGCACTTTGGGAAACTAAGCAGGTGGATCACCTGAAGTCAGGGTTTCGAGACTAGCCTGGACAACATGGTGAAACCCATTCTGTACTAAAAATACAAAAATTAGCCAGGTGTGGTGGCATGCGCCTGTAGTTCCAGCTACTCCAGAGACGGAGGCAGGAGCATCGCCTGAATCCAGCAGGGGGAGGTTGCAGTTAGCCAAAATCATGCCACTGTACTTCAGCCTGGGTAACAAAGTGAGACTCCATCTCAAAAAAAAGAAAGCATGACATTAACCAAAAATAGCGGTTAAAGGAAGAAACGATATAAGCTGGCTGTTATTTTGACTAGTTCTAAGGGTACAAGCTGTCAAAATTAGCCCGTATATTAGATTTAAGAAATCTTCTCCATACTTTGGAAACTAGTCTATTGGGACAGGAAGCAAAAACACTTACTGTACACAGATTTCTTCTCTTTGGAGTATTCTAGCCAACTTCCTACTTTCCTTTGATAAAATGCTTTTGGGTAAAGGAATGAATGACCACAACAGCTACATCTAACTCTGACCCACAAATCCTATAAAACATAAAATACTCAAAAGATAATAAGTTCTTTCAACTGTGCAATTAAAATTAATCCTTTTAAACTGAAAGCTTAAATTTTTCCTTTTTCTCCCCAAATCAGAGCCATGGGAAATCACTCATAAAACCATTCCATATCTTATTTTCGTAGAAAAATTCAGTGCTCAAGCAAATTAATAATAAAATATTCCACAATCTAAGTTCAATCTCCTCATAAAAAGATTAGTGAAAAGCCTACCGGAATCCTTGTTCTTTTATAGCAAATGCTGGTGTTTCCAAGGGGAAAATTTCAGACTGCACGAACAGTTCCCTCACTCTTCGGTCTATGACTTTCCCGTACTGAGCACCAGCATCCAGAATGACAACAGCTCCTTCATAGTGGTGGTGGCCATCCTTAAGGTCTCCTCCAGCATTCTCCAGCTGTAAATATCAATACAAATACAAAGTCTTAATTATGAAAATTAAAGCGACAGTACTTAAAAAAAAATTTAATGATCACTGTCAGCTCCAAAAGAACACAGGAATGAAAACTTAGGACTTTATGAGTTACCAATTCAAAATACCCCTTTTAAAGGGAAGATTTTAATATATATCCATGCATGGGCATATATTAAACATTTAAACTTAATAAATGCTACCATTTATTGACTATGTAATATAGTGATCGTGTGTGTATATATATACCTTATATACATGACCTAATGGTAGGATGAGCATACAATCCAGCTGTGCCAAAATATAGTCCTGGTTTATGTTCCTTATATGGACATTATTATTAACAGTGCATCCTTTCAATCTCAAAGTGTCCCAGTTTGGACAATAAGTTATTTGGTCACCCTATCAATAGTCACAACATTTTTATGAGGGATATATACTAATGGGGAAAGATGCCAGAGTATAAGCACAGCCTAATTCACTGTGTTAGGATTTTTTTGTATTATCTGAGGAAAATGATATATGCATCTAACTCATAACACTAAGATTTTTAAAAGGCCTTTTAGGCCAGGTGCAGTGGCTCACGCCTGTAATCCCAGCAATTTGGGAGGCCAAGGCAGGTGGATTACCTGAGGTGAGGAGTTCAAGACCAGCCTGGCCAACATGGTGAAACTCTGTCTCTACTAAAAATATGAAAAATTAGTTGGGCGTGGTGGTGGGCACTGTAATCCCAGCTACTGGGGAGGCTGAGGCAGGAGAATCGCTTGAACCCAGGAGGCGGAGGTTGCAGTGGGCTGAGATCATGCCACTGTACTCTAGCCTGGGCAACAAGCGAAATTCTGTATCAAAAATAAATAAAAATAAAAAGACTTTTTAAATCTAATCGCTGTCAGGTATACATGGATACACTTTTCAGGAAGGTTAATTTGGCAAAATGTCAAGTTGTTAACTGAAATATACTGAAATACTTACCTGGAAGATGTTTCAAAATAATGCAAAAGTAGGTGCTATGGATGAAACAAGATTGCTCAGGTACTAAAATCACTGAAGTTGGGTGATAGGTACATTAAGTTCATTGTACTAATCTGGTCTCTATCCTGGATTTTTTGTTTGTTTGCTTTTTTTTTTTTTTTTTTTGTATATTTTAAATTTTACATAAACTCTTGGCCGGGCGTGGTGGCGCAAGCCTGTAATCCCAGCACTTTGGGAGGCCGAGACAGGCTGATCACGAGGTCAGGAGATCGAGACCATCCTGGCTAACACGGTGAAACCCCGTCTCTACTAAAAAATACAAAAAACTAGCCGGGTGAGGTGGCGGGTGCCTGTAGTCCCAGCTACTTGGCAGGAGAATGGCATAAACCCGGGAGGCGGAGCTTGCAGTGAGCTGAGATCCGGCCACTGCACTCCAGCCTGGGCGACAGAGCGAGACTCCGTCTCAGAAAAAAAAAAAAAAACTCTTTAAAAGTTTCTGTGTACCCTGGAAATCCACTTATAGGAAGCATATACAGTATAATGCCACTTAAATATGGCTTGCATAAAAGTGTAAAAGTCTGTATGCATGCATAAAAAAGGAAGAGTATGGCTGGACATACACCAAAATATTAACAGAGTGATGAAGTAGTTCATCTAAGTAATGGAACTATACATGATTTTCTATTTTTATTTCCTTACACTCTTCAATATGTCCTAAATGTTTACAATAAACATATTAAGGGAGGTTTTCTCCCTCTAGTTGTAAAATTTGCACATAAAAACCTTAAGTCAATCCTTTAGCCACTTGTGTAATCTTTTCCACCCTTCATCCCTTCTCCATTTATCTGCAAAAAATAAATGCAGGCCTCACCTACAACACCATTATTCCTTCTGCTGCAAAAAGGAACAAGCGTTCAGGCACGGTAGCTCACACCTGTAATCCCAGTATTTTGGGAAGCCGAGGCAAGCGGTTCACCTGACGTCAGGAGATCAAGACCAGCCTGACCAACACGGAGAAACCCTGCCTCTACTTAAAATACAGAATTAGCCAGGCATTGTGGTGGGCGCCTATAATCCCAGCTACTCGGGAGGCTGAGGCATGAGAATCACTTGAACCCAGGATGTGGAAGTTGCCATGAGCCAAGATTGCACCATTGCACTTCAGCCTGGGCAACAAGAGTGAAACTCCGTCTCAAAAAAAAAAAAAAAAGGAACAAGCAAGTCAGTCATCTACATAGGAGGATTTGTGAGAGAGACCCAATCCGGTGCCAGAAGAAATTACTCAGGTCATAGAAATGAAGGTTTTGGTCACATGAATATCCAATAATGTAGAAAAGTAAGATCACAGAACAAACTAAAACTTTGTCCTTTCAGATCTTTACCCTTAGCGTTACTGTATACACACACATACACACACACACACAAACACACACACATCTTCGTGGATTTTCTCTATAATTCCTTAATCTTAACTTTTTTTTTTTTTTTTTAATTATACTTTAAGTTCTAGGGTGCATGTGCACAACGTGCAGGTTTGTTACATATGTATACTTTTGCCATGTTGCTGTGCTGCACCCACCAACTCGTCAGTACCCATCAACTCGTCATTTACATCAAGTATAACTCCCAATGCCATCCCTCCCCTCTCCCACTTCCCCATAATGGGCCCCGGTGTGTGATGTTCCCCTTCCACAGTCCAAGTGATCTCATTGTTCAATTCCCACCTATGAGCGAGAACATGCGGTGTTTGGTTTTCTGTTCTTGTGATAGTTTGCTCAGAATGATGGTTTCCAGCTGCATCCATGACCCTACAAAGGACACGAACTCATCCTTTTTTATGGCTGCATAGTATTCCATGGTGTATATGTGCCACATTTTCTTAATCCAGTCTGTCACTGATAGACACTTGGGTTGATTCCAAGTCTTTGCTATTGTGAATAGTGCCGCAATAAACATAGGTGTGCATGTGTTTTTACAGCAGCATGATTTGTAATCCTTTGGGTATATACCCAGTAATGGGATGGCTGGGTCATATGGTATTTCTAGTTCTAGATCCTTGAGGAATCGCCATACTGTTTTCCACAATGGTTGAACCAGTTTACAATCCCACCAACAGCGTAAAAGTGTTCCTATTTATCCACATCGTCTCCAGCACCTGTTGTTTCCTGACATTTTAATGATTACCATTCTAACTGGTGTGAGATGGTATCTCATTGTGGTTTTGATTTGCATTTCTCTGATGGCCAGTGATGATGAGCATTTTTTCATGTGCCTGTTGGCTGTAGGCATGTATGTCTTCTTTTGAGAAATGTCTGTTCATATCCTTTGCCCACTTTTTGATGGGGTTGTTTTTTTCTCGTAAATTTGTTTGAGTTCTTTGTAGGTTCTGGATATTAGCCCTTTGTCAGATGAGTAGATTGCAAAAATTTTCTCCCATTTTGTAGGTTGCCTGTTCACTCTGATGGTAGTTTCTTTTGCTGTGCAGAAGCTCTTTAGTTTAATTAGATCCCATTTGTCAATTTTTGCTTTTGTTGCCATTGCTTTTGGTGTTGTAGACATGAAGTCCTTGCCCATGACTATGTCCTGAATGGTATTACCTAGGTTTTCTTCTAGGGTTTTTATGGTATTAGGTTTAACATTTAAGTCTCTAATCCATCTTGAATTAATTTTCATATAAGGAGTAAGGAAGGGATCCAGTTTCAGCTTTCTACTTATGGCTAGCCAATTTTCCCAGCAGCACTTATTAAATAGGGAATCCTTTCCCCATTTCTTGTTTTTGTCAGGTTTGTCAAAGATCAGATGGTTGTAGATGTGTGGTATTATTTCTGAGGACTCTGTTCTGTTTCATTGGTCTATATCTCTGTTTTGGTACCAGTACCATGCTGTCTTGGTTACTGTAGCCTTGTAGTATAGTTTGAAGTCAGGTAGCATGATGCCTCCAGCTTTGTTCTTTTGACTTAGGATTGTCTTGGCAATGCAGGCTCCTTTTTGGTTCCATATAAACTTTAAAGCAGTTTTTTCCAATTCTGTGAAGAAACTCATTGGTAGCTTAATGGGAATGGCATTGAATCCATAGATTATCTTGGGCGGTATGGCCATTTTCACAATATTGATTCTTCCTATCCATGAGTATGGAATGTTCTTCCATTTGTGTCCTTTTATTTCACTGAGCAGTGGTTTGTAGTTCTCCTTGATGAGGTCCTTTACTTCCCTTGTAAGTTGGATTCCTAGGTATTTTATTCTCTTTGAAGCAATTGTGAATGGAAGTTCACTCATGATTTGGCTCTCTGTTTGTATGTTACTGGTGTATAAGAATGTCTGTGATTTTTGCACATTGATTTTGTATCCTGAGACTTTGCTGAAGTTGCTTATCAGCTTAAGGAGATTTTGGGCTGAGACGATGGGGTTTTCTAAATATATAATCATGTCATCTGCAAACAGGGACAATTTGACTTCTTCTTTTCCTAACTGAATACCCTTGATTTCTTTCTCTTGCCTGATTGCCCTAGCCAGAACTTCCAACACTATGTTGAATAGGAGTGGTGAGAGAGGGCATCCCTGTCTTGTGCCAGTTTTCAAAGAGAATGCTTCCAGTTTTTGCCCATTCAGTATGATATTGGCTGTAGATCTGTCATAAATAGCTCGAGCAAACACATTCAAAAGCTAGCAGAAGGCAAGAAATAACTAAGATCAGAGCAGAACTGAAGAAGATAGAGACACAAAAAAACCTCCAAAAAATCAATGAATCCAGGAGCTGATTTTTTGAAAAGATCAACAAAATTGACAGACCACTAGCAAGACTAATAAAGAAGAAAAGAGAGAAGAATCAAATAGATGCAATTAAAAATGATAAAGGGGATATCACCACCGACCCCACAGAAATACAAACTACCATCAGAGAATACTATAAACACCTCTACGCAAATAAACTAGAAAACCTAGAAGAAATGGATAATTTCCTGGACACTTACACCCTCCCAAGACTAAACCAGGAAGAAGTTGAATCCCTGAAT